TTTTTAGGTTGGTAGCAACGTAGACTTGTTCATAATATTGCTAGCATTGAAAATGTCAATTTTTATTCTCCGTTTGTGTATCTAATTAGTCAAGAGTCCCGTCTCTTATTTTATATACTCTTTGGCTTGCAAATTGAAGCAAGATACTCTTTGTCAACGTTTATCGCTAAACCAAAGAGTAAGTATAGTCTAGTAATAGCGATAAACTGTAAAATTGCTCCTTTGCTATTACATAAGAACAGGCGCTGTTTTACGCTACAAGTTAACATTTTATCTTTGATTAATAATATGGGCATTTTATGCTTATTTTTAAGATAAAACTACTTACTATATATAACTTAACACTTATACTCTTTGAATAAATTGTGACCTAGAGATTAATGTGGTTGATTGTGTGTCAAGTTGGCAAATGTGGTTTTTTTTTTGTATATTTACCTCCGTATTTTTAGTTTCTCTCGTAGTGGCATAATCATATCTCAGATCTCTTAGTTAATTGAAGAGATTGAACCAACCAAAATGCAAACATTGTTTGTTTGCTCTCGAAAATTTAATGGACGACCGACGTTTGCTGCGGTGGCCTTTAATAATTGAAGACCCATTTAGAAAATTCGATACTCTGTGTTTTAGGTAAATATGAATTAAACTACCACCACAAAAACTATAAAAAGGAGGTATCAAAAGGTTTCAGGGATCAATTTGTTAATCTTTATTGTAAATTGTAAATTATAATATTTAAAATGTTATCGTATAAAATTAGTGTACATATGGGTTTTATTACCTAAATCCCCGTTTAAAATATATTATTGTTGTCTCTGTTTTGTCAATAATAATGACAATGATGACGATATGTTTTATATAGAAATTTTGATCTCAAAAACCGAGTATTATTGACTTTATAATTTTCTAACAGATGCCATTAGAAACACAATAATACCCCCATGAAACAAACTTTTCACTGACCGCTGAGCTGCGGCTCTGCAACAAAATCAAAGAGTATAATAAGTATACTATAGAAAGAGGGGCAACTCGCACGAAGTCGTGGATCCACGGCGATTGTGGCGCTCCAAGCGTATAATCGCTGAACTAATTTTTTTTTTTTTTGGTACCTGTATACGTAGGCACGCTTATTTAGCTCACTATAATAATAACTAATAAGTGGGAATCTAATAAATAAAGTTAAAATTGACATTAAATCAATGTTCAAAAATAATATACCCACTTATGTAGTTATTAATATAGTGAGCCGATATCAAGTAGCCTTCTATGAAATACCTCTATTAAAATGATCCTATTATTATTGGGGAAATAAAAACAAAATATTTTTATATTTTTGTACATTATTTATTATATTTCTACATAACTTAATTTTAAATCTATGCAAGTACATATACATCAATGACTTTCAAGATATCAGCTCAATATTTTAATTTTTAATATATATATATTTGAAAATTACATTTACGGTAATAAATAGTATAGCGCAGCGCGGTCACAAAAGAATACATACCCTGTAAATAAAACCAAACCCCAAAATATTTTCAGTCACATGCAAGCTGGCAACTGGCAATTTGTAGTTATTTGCGAGTTTAAACACTTTGAACATATTCTCTTACAACATAGGCAAGCAATTTTTTCTTTACAATAAAAAATTACAAATAAAAAAATAATTTTTTTACATATACACACTTGGACCCACCTACTAATTTCGGACACATCAGTTTATGGCTCTATAATTCCAGTGATTGGCACACATTTTCTGAACATCACTGACCGTCTCTCAGGAAGGGGGAAACTGTGTATATGTGCACCTACAACAAACAAACAGAATGTGATTTCCTATCAAGTATAGGAACTGATATGTAAAATGTATTAGAAGTAGGGCACAATTCAATATGATAACAGGAAAGGATAAATCACTGTGGTGCTAAAAACTACACCAAAATACGAAAATATTTAAATGTTTAAATGAGTCTGACGTATGGGAATAACATGAAAATTTTTATTGAATTGTAACTTACCATAATCAGTCCATCTAAAACACAGTTGCGTACAGCGTCATTTTTCACGAAAACACATTTTAATTAAAAACAAAATGAATGAAACAACATTTAACTAAGAATACAAGAACAGAAATAGAAATACGAAAAAACGTAGCGGTTTGATGACATGAATGTCTCGATGACAGAAATGATGCTTCTTCTCAGCCATGAGATGAAATGATGTTTACCATTATATAAAAGGTGGCGCCACTTTCCATACAAATCGTCCTTCTTCTAAGTTTCCACCCCCTGAACAAAATGATCTGCAGATCATCTAGCTCCGAATGTTCCATCTAGAGATATAAATCTATGGAATAAAGTTATAAATTTTTAAAAACATTTGAAAAACGAACAAATCGTTCAAAAACGAAAAAACGAAACTCCTTATTTTAAACTACAAGTGAACTTAATAAAATATATTTTTTACTTCATGGATGAACCTACTTTTTCTATAATCTTTGTGAACAAGCAAAGGATTTTAAAAGAAATCATAAATAAATATTTAGAATCATGATACCAAAATATTAAGCTTAAGTAATGGCCTTTGCATAGTCTGTCACTATAGTTGCTTCAGAACGAATACAGACTTGGTTAGTTCGTTACTGTCATAATGACAGTTTGAAGTTGAAATGATAAACAAACTTTGGTTGTATAGCAGTGGGCGTTGCCACACATTGTGTTGATAATTCATTGATTTTATAACTGATAAACCGTACTTTTTGTGTGACATGCTTTGAGATAATAATGTGGGTCTTTTGAGATAAAATTCACTATTGTTGTCGATAGTGAATCACACGGTTTGGCGAAAAAATAAATTCTGTTTATTTCTCTGATTTAGTAAGAAATAATAAGTTTTTAGGTTTAAAACCATTTTATAATTCAACTTAAAGTTGTTTTAACCCAGTTATAATTCATCAGTCTTTAAAATTATGTGATATTTATCGTTACTCAGTGTTCGCATTTATGTGGCTTCTCGTTCATCTAAATTCTGATTCACATATGAAAAATGTTGAAAAACGCTTTTATACTTTTGTTTTTGTGTTTTAACATTAATTGCCAATCAAATAAAGATCTTTACAATGGACAATATAATACACGGCCTGATGGCTCTGAAGCAAGACTTCCAAAACCTGGAGATAACAATTATAGAACATATTTGTACAACAACAGAAGGTATGGTGCTGACCCCAGTAGATATAACCCATACAATCCAAACATCAATCAGCCTGGTGGATTTCCATACAATCCATTGAACACCAATCCTTTAGATGATCAATTTAAATACAATACGGTAAGTGGAAACGCTGTCAATCTTTTACATTAATATAGAGATCCAAGTAAGAATCTAATAAGACAAATGTAGTCACTTGTCATAATGTTCCCAAGTTTTAATACTTTTTGTCTTAATATAGCAATACTGTAGTTTTTATATGTAGTGATTGTTTACTTAGCGACTTCACTATAGAAGCTGCGTCTTAGATCTGTCCATATTCAATCATACAAATATTTTCTAGCTTAATTTACAAGTTCTCGACTTGATTAACAAGTATTAGTAAGTATTTTATTGGAGTAATTATTAATATTTTGTAATAATGATATTCCTTTTTTATTGTATAGAATATAGACCCAAACAATCCTGATGCTATTTTCCCTGGTGTCCTGGGAGGCTGGAGGGAAGACTTGCAAGGAAGGGAGAGGAGAGACTCTCGACAACTGAAGAGAGACATCTTTGTTAATACCAATTATGGACAAGTTCAAGGATTTAAAGTAAGTTGTATAGAAATATTACTCACAATGTTGAGTTAAATTGCTTTGCAATAATTATCCTTATTAAATCTACATAAGAATCTATTTAACATAATAACCTGAAAAATAACAGTTTAATAAGCAAACTTGCAGTGTTGTAAAAATGTTACGCTAAAACATATTAAATGTTTTATAAAAACTGTGAAACTAAGGTTAATACACTGCAACTTTCTAAAGATTGCAATTTTGAAGGAAATAGGAAATGTGCGAAATATTTACTATGAATGGAGAATGTTTTATCAACTGTACAAGAAATATTTTTATGTTTGCGAAGGTTCAAATTAATTAATTATTTTTATTACAGTAATTTATTTTAAACAAAGTAATAATTAAACATTATTATTAAACTGAAAAATGCACACATCATTTTAAATAATTATTATTTTTTAGGTATATTTGTATGACAATCCCGACCCTAATTCTGGCTACCGACCATGGCTAACCCCTGTAGAGAGGATACAGGGTGAAGTATCTGTTTTCCTGGGTATACCATATGCTCGACCACCTGTATTGGAAGGGAGATTTAAGGTAAATCACCTTCATCATCAGCTCACTATACATCCTGATTGAGGGGCTCGGAGCCTATCTTAATTTAGGGATGACTAGGCCATAGTCAACCATGTTGACCCAATGTGGGTTGACTTTGCACAAATCTTTGAAATTTCTTCACAGGTATGAGCAGGTTGCATCGCAATGTTTTCCTTCACCATAACTGTTGGATAAATGTACATATGTAAATCGAAATTCCAAAACACACATTGGTACATGGCGGGATTTGAACCTAGGACCTGTAGATACAACTCAAGCGCTTAACCCCTGTGCCATCGACGCTTTTAAGCTTCTAAAATCACTTTCATTAGGAATTATTCAAATCTTGAACAGGAGTTCAAGATATTTACTCCTCCTGCCCATAGGAATGGTGTTTTTTTTATATCAGAAGGAGGCAAATGAGCAGCGGGAACACCGAGGTGTTCAATGAAGCATAAGTACTATTAATATTGCCATAGCTTGATATTCATGTTTTTTGACTTTACCATATTACCCATGTGTAATAAGGCTATTATAATTTTGAACTGTCAATGTGACAGTTGACATTTTTGTTTTTTTTTTTGCTTTAACTACAAGGCATGTTTTCGTACAGCCGCCGCGCCAGCACCCCGGCTGGCAGCTGCTGCAGGCGGTGGACTGGGGCCCAGCGTGCCCGCAACCGGTGCGGCACACCGGCGCTACCAAAGGCATCCGAGATATGGACGAAGACTGTTTATATCTCAATATATTCTCACCTAATGTAAGAACGCGTTTATTATAGTACTAGCTATCGTCTGCGTGGAATTAAATATTATATCGTTTTGTATAAAACTTGTTTTTGGTAACTATTTCTTTTCAAGAAAAATCTCATCATACACCTCTTAACAATTGATTATAAAAATGCTGCGTCCATGATTATTTCAGAAAAGCAAGTTACTATATGATTTGTTGTCAAGCGACGCCGGGTCATTTCCTATGCTTTTCAGTTTGAGTAATTAGGATATTAACAATTCTGTATATCAATTTCATAACGCTGTGTGGTCGCGGTTTAGATATTGGGTCGCTGATTGTAATACGCTATTTGAATTGCGGTTTTACGTAACATTATGCATATTTAATATGAAATTGCTACCCACATTCATATGTCACAAGTCATATTTGCTATCTCTGTCTAACTTAAATAACTTAAAGTCGCGAGACAAGGATAGAATACAGCTTATGATACTCGTAAAAAAATCGACCATCTGAATAGCAATTAATATAGGTCTGTATTAATTACGTTATGTGAATTATCAAAGTAATACCGCTTACTATTAGGAATTGATTCTTATCTCAAAGGATTAAAGTCGAAATTAATTTGACAATGTCTAATTGAGGACTTCCGATGCAGTTGGCATTGCAAATTGAATCAATTAAGTACCGTGATGACGAATTATCGTGTCGTTGACCTAAAGCTTTGATAGTTTACATTAAAACGTAATCATTACGTCAGCTGTTTATAACAGATCCTCGTGTACCATAATCTTGTTAAAATTTCACTAACGGTATAGTATACTAACTGTCCCAACTCTGTTCTCATGAAATTAAAAAAAACGTAATTAGTGTTCTTCCAGACTATGTTTTTCATCTATGACAAATTTCAGCGAAATCCATGAAACCGTTCTGGAGATACCTTCTAACATCCATCCATATTTGAAAGCTGTACATTAGTAAACAATAATTTTTTATTTTATATACATAAAAATTGTGAAAATTCAACTATTGGTGAACATTGGTTTAGCGTTGTGTAACTTTAGGTCAGTCGACGCTCGACCGATTTATTAACGCTTGTTTTTAACTTGACTAATTGCTTCACTGAACATCCACAATTTATCAGTTTAAAGAAACAAAGTGAAAGTAGACATTTATGGGTGTTTTTTTTTATAGACAGAAGCAGGTGCAACAGCTCAGAAGTACCCAGTAATGGTGTACATCCACGGTGGGCAGTTTTCCTCCGGCGCTTCCAACTTGTTCCCCGCGCACATGTTGGCCGGCTTCTACAATGTTGTTGTTGTCTCGCTCAACTACAGGCTCGGCGCATTAGGTATATAGTGTGCTCTCTTTCTGACACTGCGCTTGTACTTCTCTCTAATCTGTTTATACACTGACCTATATATGGACAGGCGATAAGACTTAGTATTTTGTGCCTAATTGATATTCGCCATTTTGGCGCTGGTGGTAGCGGTTTGTAGCGGTGGTGTGTAATAGAACTAAAAATATAGATAGAATTAACTGCCGGCATGTAAAATCATCAGACGTTTAAATCGGAAGGAAACAAAAATTTACATTTGCAAGCAAACGCCTATCCATTTACAGAAATTAGTGTGTTTACATGGTTAAGTAAGGAAAGTGATAAATATTTAAATTTCTACTGCAGGTTTCCTGTCGACGTCGGACGAGAACTCGCCCGGTAACTACGGAATGCTGGACCAGATAATGGCGCTGCGCTGGATCCGCGACAATATAGAGCCTTTCAATGGTGACCCGCAGTCCATCACGCTGTTCGGTCCCGGCGCCGGCGCAGCCTCTGCTGGTCTGCTGGCACTACACCCGCAGACCAGTCATATCGTCTCCAGAGTTATTGCACAGGTACTATAGCCTTCTGTCTTCCTCTCATTTTATACTTCTTTCTAACTTTCATTCTCGGATTTTAAGATAAATTCACTGTGAGGTTAAACTATCAAGAGATTTTTAAATAAGAATGACCAAACAGTTGATTTATATCGCATTTCCATAGATTTTTTATGACAGTATCTTTTACTATTTAAGAAGTGTTCAGTACAGAACAAGAAAATAAAAAACTGTTGGAAATATCTTAGATTCGCGTTTAATTAGAAGAAGTACATTATTAGTGCGACATGTGTGCGCTTGAGTGCGAGAATTGCGAGAGTGGATTGAATGAAAGAGTGAGTGCTTGAAGTTGAGTGACATCGCCCCCGCGCCGCTCGGCCCGGTGTCAAGTTTGGCGTAGACAAGAAGTAATAGATTGATTTAAATTAGGACTTAATAATATTAATAGGAATTTAATAATATTTTTTTATTTGATAGTTTAATAGTTATGTAATAAGGTTGATATGGTTGTGTACAGAGCGGGTCAGCGCTGGCGGAGTGGGCGCTGATAGAGGACAAGTTCCGAGTGCAGAACACGTCGCTGGTGTTCGGCCGGCTGCTGGGCTGCCCCATCGACTCCTCCTGGAAGCTGGTCAACTGTCTGCGCCAGGGCAGGAGCTTCTATGAGCTAGGCAATGCTGAGTTTCAGGTAATAATTGTGCTTTTTATATGAAATTAACTATATTATTGGTTTTTAAATTAAGAAGATTTATTTTTGTGTTACTCAAGTTTTCAATTATTTAAAGCATAATAAAAATACTTCTTGCGAGTTTCTACACTTAGAAGTTAATCATGCGTTGCTTAATATTCAGTCTTTTTTCTGTAAATATTTTCACGTAACATGTAACATTCCAGCCTCAAGTGGGCTTCATCCCATGGGGTCCGGTCCTGGAGAACAACTTCACGTACCCCGGGGACGAGTGGTACGAGGGGTGGCGCGCCAGAGACTGGACCTTCCTGCAGACCAAGCCCGAGGACCTGATAGCTGCCAGGTCCTTTAACCCTGCTCTCAGATATATGACCGGGGTCACCACGCAGGAGGCCGCTTATGTACTATGTAAGTCATTGTGATAAAAAAAAATTGTCTCGAAAATATATAGAGAAGAGGCAACACCCCTTGTGATATTTTAGAATCTCCGTCCAAATTTAAAAAATCTCTTGTTTTTACTAATCTTTCTTTCATTATTGTCTCTTATATACAAATATATTTTTCCAGCGACTGATCGAGGTCATTGACCTGTAGATTTATATTTAAAAGGCATGAATGGGGTTCGACCGGTACCACGACCATACAGGAGAGGAGACAGGCGGCAAGTTGAACTCATTCCGTACATAGTCTGATGATTATGAGTTCCGAAAGTCTAAATTTAGTCTTCTTTCCCTTCCCACTCTTTTCTCATAAGGAAAGGAAAAGAGGATTTAATATAATATATTTGTAGGAGAGGACGGATAAGTGGAGATATTCTTTTTCTATGCAAATCGGTCTTTTCGCTTTTATTAATATATTTTTTTAAATGTGTGTAGATAACAACGAGAGCCTGGCGCCAGGATACGAGATCAGCGAGCAGTGGTTCGATCAGAAGGTGCGGGAGCTGGTGCTGCGGTACAACTACACGCTGAACCCGCGCGGCGTGTACGAAGCTGTGCGCTACATGTACACGTACCACCCCGACCCGCACAACGTCTCCGCTATACGTGACCAATATGTGCATGTATGTTATAAACCCCACCTAAACCCCACCGATTCCCAATCTGGTAACAATAACTAAGTAACATCCCTAGCCGAGGTTCTTAAGGGAGCTCTCAAGTCTTGTTATTCTTAAACGAGAATTAGGCTAAGCGCCATTTGCGCTCAGCCGTCTCAAACCCGGTGAAGTCACAAAAAAACACCATTTTCTGCTATGGATTTTTTTTAAGATCAAACAACAATGTAAACCTGAAGCTTGTGTTAGCACATGGTCGGTACTACAATGGTCATATGGCAGGATTCTAACCCACTACCATAAATTCAGCGGTCGGAACCCTTGATAATTATGTCTTTGCTGTTTGGTTAAGTGATATGCGAGTGTGTCCGTTAACAAATGAACGAGCGGTCACACGAAATCACTGAAAAAGTAAATACAACTTTAAGACCTCCAATAACTTAGAAGTTCTAGATTTGCTAGCTTTAATGGCAAGAGCCCATTGGCATCGACGTACGTCTTTTGAACGTCCTAAATCTTACTTTTATTAATTTTACTAATATTTTAAATGCAAAAGTTTAGATAGATGGATGGATGTATTTTAGAATGTATCTCCAGAGCGGCTCAACAGATCTCGATGAAATTTGGCATACATATATTATAGGACATAGTCTAAAATAACACATAGGCAACTAATTACGTATTTTTTCGCAGGCGACACTAGTAATGATAAGTAAATGTGTTATACAGCTGCTGTCGGACTTCCTGTACCGAGCGCCGACAGACAAGATGGTGAAGCTGCTGCTGGAGCAGCAGGTGCCGGTGTACATGTACGTGCTGAACACGACGGTGGAGTCGTACCGGTGGCCGGAGTGGCGGCAGTACGCGCATGGTGTCGAGACCCTCTTCCTCACCGGCGCGCCCTTCATGGACCAGGAGTTCTTCCCGCGCCGCCTGCGTCTCGACCGCCAGGCCTGGACGCCCAATGATAGGAATATGAGCCACTTCTTTATGAAGGCTTACTCAGATTTCGCTAGATTCGGGTGAGTTTCTTTTAATATTTATTGATGTTTTACAGTTTTTGTCAAGTATAAGAAAATTTTGCATACTCCAAATCACATTTTCATTTTAAGGTCATAATTAAATTAGTTAAAAGTAAAATCTACAAAAAAATTATGAATTCACAAGCAAAATGTGTTTTGGTTCTCGTCCCCAGCAACCCGACGCGGTCTCGCATCCTGGGCGTGCACTTCGAGGAGGCTCAGGCGGGACAGCTGCGCTACCTCAACCTCAACACCACCTACAACTCCTCCATAATGCTCAACTACCGCCAGACTGAGCTCGCCTTCTGGACCATCTACCTGCCCAGCGTCATCGGCAGGCTGGTGCCCACATACCCGCCCATCACTGAGGTAACGCCTTTTGTACACAGGTAGGAACGTAAATCTTTGAAACATGGCGATTTCAATCGATACACGACTAACGACAACCTGTTTTTAAAGGTCATCGTGACAAAACGTATTTTACTTTCCTAGAAATTAATGAAGCGTTTGTACTTTTTTCTAAATCCGCGAGTACTTGAAGAATAACAATGAGTATGAGATCAAGATTCCTGTTCAAAACATGTTTTCTTTTTTTTATCAAAGATTTTGGTTTCAAAAACCTGCAGTAAATAAATATACTTGTCCTTGTTACGAAGGTAACGTAAAAGATGTTGTTTGTTTCTGAGTGTGTTAATATCTATGCGTAGTATTGGTGGGAGCCTCGTCAGCCGCTGCAGATCGCGTTCTGGTCAGTGGCGGTGGCCTGTCTGCTGCAGCTCGTGCTGCTCGTGCTCTGCTGCATGCTGTGGCGGAACGCTAAGAGGTACACGCCCACACAGTACTCCGTCTCACTCTCACACATCCATTACGATATCTCACAAATCCACTATCTCCTTCTCTGTCTAATGAGCCTGAGACACACTGGACGCTTAGCTATCTTATCTGACGGTACCCAGGGCATTTTTTCTCACATAAAATAACACTGTTACTAACAACTTGTTAATAACATTTGACTAACATTGATTAATTATTAGGTAGGTACACAATAGTCGTTTGAAAAGTAGAGCCATCAAAAAGATTAAAGTAATTTTGTACTCTTGTATAAATTGAAAACAGCAGCACGGCAGCTAAAATTCGTTTATTCTTTGTTAAAATGCTTGTACTAAACCTATATACATTTTTTACAATATTAATTAATTGAGCACTATTCACGATTACTATTCATTGTTCACTTTCCGCGCGATTCTCTTCTCTTGACACCTATCTTTTTTTATAATAAAAAAGGCAAAGGTTCTGACCATATTCCATTAATATTCCAGGGCTGCACCTCCTAAATGGAAAATGGTACCCGCCATGTAGGTGAACGTCTTATTATATATTAAATGTCGTCTTTATTTGCTTATGTGTATGTGTTGCATTTCATACTATACTAGTTGTTGCCCGCGACTCCGTCCGCGCGGATTTAAGAAACTTAGTAGCCTATGTGTTAAATGTCATAGCATAAAAACACATACTTTTCTACTCTTTGATTATTAAGTAATGTAAGATTATGTAATATGTGTAGGGAGAGTGATCGTCTGTACGAGGGTGACATATTCATGGTGCCAGAGTTGGCGGAGGGTGGCATAGACAATGACACCGCGGCGCGGTCGCGGGACAACATCTACGAGTACCGCGACGTGCCGCTCAAGAGACCGCACACGCCGCAGACTCTCACCAGAACGGTGAGATACCTATTTATATATAAGTATTTATCTTGCAATCTTTACGCGCCTAAAGTCACCGGTGTGCTTTTTTTATCATCTTTTTATTGGACTGGGTAGATTGTCGGTGGTCTTTACAATAACATTATTACCTAATATCGTTTAGACAAATCTCATTGTTTTAAGTTAATTACTATTTTAAATAAATATAATTATTTTTCAAATTTTCGTCTACCTCACTAGCGCCATATATTGATCTATTATTGCTTGCCCATCTAGAACTTTGTCAACGTTTTATGCATTATTTTTGACAATTTGTGATACAGATAAGTCAGCCGGCCACTCTGCAGTCGTCGCGGCCGCCGTCGGAAGCCTCCACAGGGTCAGCTCTCTCACTGAAGGAGAGCGCGGTGTCGCGCGCGCCCGCGCCCGTGCCCCGCGCACGCTCGCGCACGCAAATCGTACACGGAGTGCCGCAAACTACTGTCTGATATACCATTTTATACCTTAACCTCTATACAATAAGGTTTTATTTACTATGACACATTGTCATTGTCTAGTGTTATCGTTTTATCCATTTTGAACCTTATACGTTAGGTAATAAGGTTGTTTTGTTGGTTGAATAAATATTGAATACGATTAATATTACGAACCACTAAAATGTTTTAATTGTGGTCAGTATGTTAGAATTTTTTTAATTAGGTGCTGTCCAGTGATGTAAAGAATTCTAGAATTTATCGCCGACAATATAAGACTTTGTCTCCATTAAAATGTTAAGCACGAACAATTAGATTAGGTTAGGCTTAAAATATCCATCCCATTTTAATTGACATTTGATGCTTTTTACAAAAATAAGAAAATAAATATTGTCAGATATACGAATGTATATATCTTTATGTACTGATTTATATAATGTTTTAAAATACATACTTTTATAGGATTTTATTTAAATAAAATTACCACCGTTAGGTATTTTATATTTCAATATTTACCAGTTTTACAATTTAGACTGAATTAATATTAATTTCTCGCGTTGTGATAAAATAACGACGTTTTAATGTTAAATATTAGTTTTATAACTTCACAGTAAATATTTTTATTTCCTATATATAAAATAAAATAGACATAAGAGAATATTTTTGCCTTGTGATTAAATGACATGTAAACTGCCTTAACTGTTTTAAATGCTAAAGAGAAACATATTGTTGTCTCTTTCATTTACATCGGAGAAAGTGAGACAACAATATGTTTGTGAAGACCGACTTTAAAATATATTATGCCAGTGTTAGCAGCTAAACATTTATATTTAAGCATTTGCATGTAAGTTTGTACACTTGTCTTTGTCTTATTTAAGTTATTTAAGATTTTTACATGTTTGTGATCGTCTGTCCGTCCATTTTTGTGAACTGCGTGTTCGTAGATTTTTTTATATAGTGTTATTTACAAATGAAATGAACACAACTGGTTTCTATGTAATTAAAAATAAAAATATTTTTAACGAAATTTTTTAACTGTTTTCATTTCTTAACCCATTTCTAGCAGCAAATTCTATTTTTTTAAGTTCGCAACAAGGAAGAAACAGTTAATTTTTCATTAATCAGAAATCTCTTTAAATGAATCCCCTTAAAATTGAGTCACGAATAAAACTATAATAGATATACATTGCTGCATTTTATTTAGTGCATTTACAAATGTCAGGCGGCGAGCGCGCAGTGTAGAGCGCGTCACACGCGGGGCCGCAGATCAGCTTCGCATCAACGCCACCTATCGGCAGCAGCCGGCCCGGGTACTGCGTCAGGTCCACCACGTAGTTAGCACGTAATAAGCCTGCTGGATAGTTCTGTTCAACGTCGGACTCCTCCTTCACGAAACATTACAAATTTAAACATTAAAACTGTATAATTCGATTATTTACTTAATTGGACAACAGAAATAAAAAAACCTACAATCTATCAAGTGGCACGACTGTGTTTCGAACATCCATCATCATTATCATCATAAAATATGAATGATATTTGGAAAGTGTTACCGGGTCTGGTTCAGGCACGGCGACCTCGCACCATGCGCGCGCGCTGCACGCTCTGACCAGCGCGCACGGCATCCCCGCGCGGTCAGCGAGCACTTTGTACAACAACGCGCGTTCTAGCGCACCGCCGCACTTCACGAAACCCAACCCTATCATGTTTGAACGCATTTCCATCTATAACAAGATAAACCAGCCATCTTACTAAAAAAATTAAAAATACAGAAGTACATCTTTAAACTCCATTAAAAAAGACGTGAAATGGATTTATTTTATGCTATTTGTAGCAAAATCAAAAACTAAAACTTATGTATTCTGGTATACATTTGGATTTAGACTAACATTTTTCACTAAATTCTAACAAAACGGAAAAATTTATTCCTGTCTTGTAGCGTAACTATCGCGAGCGGTAAGTTACCATGATATCAGCGAGATGGAGATGGACGCTGGGCAGCGAGCAGTCGCGCTCCTGAGTAAGGCCGCTCATCACCTCCGCCACGTACTCCGCCAGCAGTGCCGCCTTCTGCTTCAGAGTGGACGACACCTCCGCGCACTTGTCGCGGTATCTGACCAACAACACACTGTACCCATAGTAATATATCCATCCCATAGAATCCCAGGCCCCAAACCTTCTTAACATGCACAGAGCATTGAAGTCTATAAAGCGACAAACAAAGAGACTTCGATGAACTATGGAATGCTACTTTAAAATGCAAATATTTCAATACTCTGTGCACCCAATTCAATATTATAATTCCAGATTGATTAAATTTTTCATCTTTATATGTTATGACTGTGGTAAACTATTTTAATTCGTAACAAACTTATAAAGTACAAAAACTTACCTGACTTCATAATGTGCGTCCTCTATTTCCAGATAGTGCAAAGATTTAGATCTGGTGACAAACAAATTTATTTAAAATGTGGTATTTTAAATTAAAATATAACTATTTATTACTGAAATAAAACTTGTACTTACGGATCACCAAACCAGATGCGCAAGCGCAGCAAATAGTGACGAAGATTTTTGTCATCTAGCAGTCGGCCGGGACTTAAGCTGCGATCGGACCTCGACGTAGGCGAATATTCTAGAAAATACTCAAAGATTATTTTTGTAATAAGACTTTATTTTATTTCAATTATAAAGTGAATATTTTGATGTAGCTTATTACTAACTCGGTGTTCTCAAATCGACAGCTGAAATGCTCTCAGCATCAGGAGGTTGGAAAGAGCACACAAACACCGGGTCTCGACTCGGGTCAGCAACTTCCAGTAGAGCACGTAATGTCGGAAACGGACTGGATAGTCGTTTCTGTACGTAAAATCCGTCCTAATGAAATACACAAAATATTTAACGAAATTCTTGTAATGACATTAATGACAAAGACTATAATAAGAGTCTCTTCTTTTCGCCAAATGTTAGGAACATTGAACAAAATTACCTTCATATATTCTTCTATGATTGTAGTAACGCCTATTTAACCTTAACAGTTTTGTATGAGGTGGCAAGTTTATGTCGCACCCTAGTCTTATCATTGATGTCCAGTCTGCCAGTGTACGCCAGCTTGGCGGAGGGGTGCTGCTGGAATATCGCCTCGAGCGCCGGCTCCCAGGCCCCCACCGCGTACCGCGCCTGTTTGTTCTCTACCATGCTGTAATATATACAATTCCATCTAAACTCTAGATGGTGGCGAGACGTAAAGAAAAGCCTTCTTGGGTGCACCCACGGGAGCTTTCCTCAACCCGCACACCGCGCACCTAACACAAATTTACGAAGATACGCGCCCATGGTTAACTAAGATTCGCTATAAAGTTTAAATCTAATAACATAACGAACGTAAGTGATGTCCAGAATTTACAAACAAGGAAACGCAACAACTAAATAGTTGGTTTTTGTTTGGGTTAAAAGGTAGGTACTACCTAATAAAATCATAAAAAGAAATGCATCGTGAAATCCGTGATGTCGTTATCAATATAATAAGAAATGTGACAAACTAATGCACGGTGCCCAGATCCAGGTAGACGTCTGCGCCCTCATCAGTCACGCTCCCCGTGATAAGCTCGCACAGCGCCGTGCGCAAACCTACGTGCTCGATTAGTAGGTTGTTTGAGACCACCTATAGCAAATAAGATATAATAGCATGCATTAATCTAAATTTCAAATCCGAATAACCGCTTTTCCATACATTATTATATAAAAAAAATATATTTTAATAGTTCGTCATCTATAAACCTACCTCTTCCCCTTTCCTTGCTGTGAACAATTCCTTGCTCACATCTTCTGCCATCAGACCACACAGCGCAGTACACGTCATCATTTTTAATTTTATATCGATTCGCTGAAAGAATTTTTTAATAAAATTTGCTTAAGCGAGAAAGAGGAAGAAAGTCAGAGAGTACCACTGAATAAACATAAAATATTATAATAATATTAATTAACTCCATCTTTAACCCATTCAATGCCATTTTGATTTTCAAGTCTACACACAGAGCGAGTCAATCAGTCATTAAACCTTTATTATAAATAAAGCTGTAGTGTATAATGTCAGACCTGCAGTATATTGAGCAACTCTTGCATGAAGTCTGCGTTGAGCATTGCAGCCAGGCTCACGTGGTAACTCTGCAGGTTGATGTAACACTGCACAGCCACGCGCTGCGCCTCGATTGGTGTGTCTGCCACTACACATACCCCACACTCCATACATACATATTTATTTTGAAAAATAAATAAAAAAAATCATACAAAAATGTAAGCAGATAAATACTAACACGTACCAGTGCCATCCATTTTCACGTTCATTTTAAAAATTATAGTGGAATTGGAGGTGTTAATGTCAAAATGTCGGAGTCTACATAACTGACCTTTCTTGTTGATATTCCTAAGCGTAGTGAAGGTGCTGGGTTCCACCAGCCTGTAGGCGGCCTTGGGTATGATCCGGCAGAGCTCAGCTAGCGCTCGCAGCGAGTTAATGCGCACGAAGAACCACGGCGCCCCGTCGTCGGCCAGAATTCCTTTTAGTTACAAACAACAAAAAACTTCTTTATTTATTTTTTTCTCCGGCTCAGTCCATATCTGTGGATCCGCAATTTTTTACTGTGACTTATTGATCAGTAAGGAAGAACTTTAGTCTATTTGGTCTCTACACCAAGGTGCTTTAATTAACTCTGATTGCGTCTGTAAAAGGCATTAAGAAGCAGTTAAACTATTTAAAGTCCGTCAGTTGTTACCACAGAGTGCTTCAATAATATTGGTGTCAGACATGCGCACCGCAGCGGGCAGCAGTTTGGTCATGTTGGCAACGCCCATTGCAGCGTCCGCTAGCAAGTCGGCGTTCGTACTCAGCAGCTGGCTACAGAACACCAGGTCCGTACCAGTCTGGTATAGAGCCTGGTTACATCATGAAATGTGGAGTAAACTTCCAAGCTGTAAACTCACAGCTCATATAAGTGGAAAGCCTTTAAAGACAGACTAATGTAAGAAATTATGGGAAAGGTAAAGTTGTTGAATCTCAACCTTTGTCAAAATGTACTAAGTGTAGAGCCTTTGGGTCCAAGTTAAACTATTATAGTAAACAATGAGGTTACATCTCTCCCGTTGGCGGTAAAGGACATTTTGGTGAGGACGGCGAGGCAGTGCGGCTTCATGGCCGGCAGCGCCATATCGAGGTAGGCGAGCAGACGCAGCACGCAGCCCGATTGGTACAGGTGCGCTGCGTTCTCCTCCGTCTCTGCGTAGTCGCGCAGCACGCCCAGAACCTCCGTGTGTACGTCGCGGAACTCATAGGACTGTAACCAAATTTAAAACTCATACAATCGAGGCTGCTGCGCAAATTTTCTCGCTTTATGAGTGATCACTACTTTTCTTGTAAAACTACTTTAGAAGGTGCCTAGTTTCAGATATTACGAAAGAAGAATAAACAAATATTTAACCTCTAAAATATCACACAAGTCCAGCACTCCAGTTGAGGCTCTAAAAGTCTTCTGGACAGCGTAATCTTTGTAGCGCCTGATGAGCTGATCGACGGTGCGAAGCGCGGCATGCTGGATTGCCAGGTACTCGCTCTGCATCAGCGCGAGGAGCGACACCCAGCTGAACTGGTTGCTCTTCGTTACCTCCGATGCGCACACTGGGTCAGCCAAAAGATTGCTGAGAGTCTACGACAATTCAAAGCGTTAACTATTATCCACACGGAATCCACAAGACAGAGGGTAGTAAAGAAAAATACAAGAAGAGAAGTCTTTTCTTACACAAAAAGATAAAGGGACAAAACATTAAAACCTGCAAGCAATTATTCTGCACATCAGGGTCGGAGCTATTCTTCATGCGGTTAAAGAGCGTATTGAGGATGTTGGCGGAGACGAGCTGGTCGCAGCCGAGAGGTTCGCGCGTCAACTCACACAGCACCAGTGACGCGAACTCCAGCACGAATATGTCTTCCACCTCGACAAACAAAACTAAAGGATCTCTTTGCAAATGTGCTAAAAAAGCCAAGAAGATTGTGGGTGATTACTGCGAGCCGTATGTAGACTACACAAGAAAAGTCGTTAGTCAGTAATACCACGTTGAGGGTTGCTTTTCTTTTATTTTTTCTTTGAAATTACGCAAAGAAATTATTTACTAACTTTGACCAGCATCAAAGCGATCTTCCTCAAGTTCTGAGGGTTATCAAGCACGACCTCAGGCGCGTGCGGTAGCTGACACAGCTGTGCTAGGGCCTTCAACGCGAACCGGCGGATGTTCAGCTCGGCGTGGTCGATGTGAGGCAGAATGTACCGGATTGCGTTCAGGTCGAACAGCAACTGACGGTTTAGCATGTCTTGCGCTGAGAACTTTGTGATCGCGCGTAACGTCTGCGAAAATTTGACTTTACTTTACATCATTGAAATCTCTAAGCAATAACTTTGTTCCAAAAGTGAAATAGTAGAGCCCTTTTATTGTAAGTCTCTGAAAAGATATCACTAAATAAAGAATAATAAGTGAACCTGGCATAATATCTCTGGTTCAGGAGACTCCAGGAGTAACACTGCTGTCTTAGCAGTCTCCGGGGTGATGTTATATGGATGGAAAGTCAAGTCTTTCTTATCGGCGGATCTGTTTTCTCTATCTTTCTGCAAAGGTTTCGCCATCGTAGAAAATATTTATACTAAATTATTTTCGATTAATGTTAACATTTACAGAAAATATACTTTTAAAACGCTTTATTTACTTTATTGACGTTTTAAAATGTCAAATTACATATTTTTATTGATACCAGATCATTGTTTTTTAGTCATAATCTCTCTTGTTGTATTTTGATCGTTTCAAATAAATGAAAAATCGGCATTTATTTTTATACATGATAAACAGATGTGCATACACGCCCGTATCTTAGTGAAGTAGGCAAAATCATTTTTTACAAAACTGGCCGTTAAGATGATTGTAATTTAAAAAAAGTTACCAATCATTTTCATGTTGCTGTCATTTTCTAGTTAGACATTTTAAATGTTGATGTACTTTTATACGAAAGCTTTATGCGAAGTAAAGGTTTAATATTTCGTTACATAGGTGTAATTGCTAGGAAGTTCAGGGCGTTCCAAGAGAGATGGCTGCTGCCATGGTGGGACAGCGGGGGCATGTCAACAGCGCCGCTCTGGGCACTGGATACACTCGTCCTCATCGTCAAACTGTGCTCCACTTGTGCTATTGCAGTTGTAAGGGTGCTAATTCCACCGACAATGAAGAATTTGTACGGAGAAACTGTTCTGGTTCGTAGCTTTACTTATTTCGATTTAAAAATCAAAATTATATATTGAAGCACATAAAATGGTTGTCAAATTATGGTCATAGATCACCGGGTCGGGCCAAGGCCTGGGTCGCGAGCTGGCGATACAGTTTGCTGAGTTAGGCGCCACCGTCATCTGTTGGGACCACGACACGCCCCGGAACAACGCTGTTGTCAATGAGATACGGAGAAAGGACGGCGAGGTACATGTTTTTGCAGTTAATGCGACTTATTTTTTCGACCAGTATGCTAACCCTTAGACCGCAACTACTAAATATCGAGTTTTCAAGTTTCAACTTTCTCCTCCAGTGCTTCGGGTTCACAATAGACGTGACGTCAAGAGAGCAAGTCTCCTCCCTGAGCGCGCGGTTGATACGTCAGCTGTCTGACGTCAGCATCGTAGTGAGCAACGCAGGTGCCTACTCCTGCGGGCCCGTCACTCACTTCAGGCCAGACGCAATCGCCAAGCTCATTGAGATCAATCTATTGGCACATTTCTGGGTAATGACTTCTAACTAACACAATTACTGACTAAGATTGTCTATCGATTGCTTGTTTTTTTCTTTATTGGTCGACGATTGTTGTGGATTGGACCGTATTCCATTAAAAATAAAGCTTAATCTCCAATATTTGCTTCTATCTCTTTACAGATTATCCAAGCGTTCCTCCCGAACATGATAGAGAAGAGACGTGGTCACATTGTGGCGATAAATTCAAGTGCGGGTCTCATGCCCTGCGCCGAAATGGTGCCGTACTGTGCTGCTAAATACGGCCTCAGAGGTTAGCTAAATGACCAGAACTTAGACAGCTTCTAGAACTTTGAATAAGCTTTAAAACAGAGTATTATTTAATTCAACATCTTTTTTGACAGGGTTAATGGACGCTATAACGGAAGAGCTGCGTTTAGACACGTGGACGAAAAACATTTACACAACGTCAGTGTACCTGGCGACATTATCTACCGGCTCGTACTCCCCGCCCGCGCACCGCTTCGCCTCCCTCTACCCAGAGGTCGCGCCCAAGGACGCCGCCAAAATTATTATTGATGGTAAGAATATTACTATATTCAACGCCATCTATTGTTGTTGAAACAAACTAATTTTGGAATGTTGAAAAGAATCTGATGAATATTTTAAATAGTTATTTGCACTTAGATAATAAGATTGAGCAACTTTTTAACTATTCTATGATTTTGCAGGTATTCGTAAAAATCGCAAAGAAATCAGCATACCTTCAATCATGAAGCCACTGATAGCTCTAAACAACATACTGCCGTACCGCATAAGAATAATTCTAACGGATTTCTTTAATTTCGGTCACAGGGGTTGGTTTAGCTTTTGTTGACTTTCTTTAGAATATTTTGGTAATACATGTATATAGATTTTAAGAATATTTGTATGAAAGTTTTTAGTTTATACAATGTTTTTATTTTCTGTAAGAAAAAATTACTGTGGCTTTTGTGAAACAATTAAGCGCCTTTCGATATACAACTAGCAATTTTTTCAGATCTAACTCTGCCTCTGTTGCGTAAACGAATACCATTATATCTATTTAATGCTTTTTTGATGTTATTGTTTTATAATAGTCATGTATATTGTGTAATTTGTTATAAATAAAAGTAATTTAGAACTGTTTTAATGACTTTTTTTACACATAATATACAGATAAATTAGCATATTTGTGTAAATTCAAATATCATTTTTTTAATACTCTGTAGGTGTCATAAAATTTGTAAACTACAGACCTATTATTTAATTACCGTTAAAATCCCGTTAAAATTGATCGAGTCCTTGAAAAGATTACCAGGAACAAATGCGGCCTTACAGACAGACATACAGACAGGAAAAAATTAAACAAAGGTTTTTTTCCTTATCAGCTACGCAAATTCATGATTTGTAGGAAATGTTTTTTTTTTCGATATTCCAGACTACATTTTTATTGATATCTGTAGATTATATTCAAATACACATATGAGATTCTAATTTTTGTCTATCTATTTTCTGGCCACATTTATCGCATATAACAATTTCACTATGTTTTAACCGATGTTCATACATAGATATTGCATCGGGAAACTTTTCAGAGCAGAATGGGCATTGATGTTCAGTTTGTGCAGCATGTTGCAAGGAGTGCCGCAGTAATGTGGCTTTTGTTGCAAAACTATGCCCACAAGACTCACACAAGTGACGGCTTGCTACTTGTTTTGTATGATTTTGTACATGCATGTACATTTCCTTATGGTTTCCTGATGTTTTACTGCAAATCTTACATCTGAAATATTAAAAAAAAATTAATTAAAAGAAACATAATGTTGAGGTGAAATAAAACAAAAGCATGAATAATTAATAAGCATCGGTGGCTCAGGGATTAAAGCACTTTACTTTTAAACAGCAGAACCTGGGTTTTATTTCTACCATGTACCAATGTGTTTTTCGATTTTCTATTTACATATGTACATTTATCTAACATTCTTACAGTGAAGGAAAACATTGTGATGCAACCTGCATATATCTAAGAAGAGATTCAAAGATACGTGTGAAGTCAGACCCCACTTTGAAGGCATGGTTGACTATGACTTTGTCAGCTCTTAGGGTAGGCTTTGAGCTGCTCAGAGGATTAATCAAATTAAGTTAAAAAAATGATAATAAATATAATTCAGTATCACTTACTCACCTATACAATAAGTTTTCAAGTTTTTCATGATCCTCTTTCTTATGTTTAGCTAATCTATCATTACCAATAAATGTATGGCCACATATATCACAAACCTTTTCTGTAGATTTGATTAAATGTTGCTTCACATGTTTGTAGAGCTCAAATCTGTCTTTACACATTATTCCGCACTGTTTACAGCGGTGACACAAACCTAGCATAGACACTTGGTCAGCTTGGCAATTGTTGTAATGTTTTAAAAGTAATTCTTTGTTAGTAAATTGTTTACCGCAGTTGCAAATCATCTGTGCTAATATTCCGTGAATAATTGAGTGTTTTTTCATTTTTTTCTTTGATTCAAATTGTGTATTGCAATGTATGCATGTTCTAGATGCACTTTCACAGATACTCAAATGTTGTGATAGTTTTTGTATATTATCAAATTTAGATTTGCAGCCAAAGCATGTGGTTTTATCATTTTTTACATGATTAATTTTAGATTTAGGCTCCGTCTCTTTAAAAAGTATTCCTTTTACTAACTCTACATCAGAATCTAAAACATCTATGTCCATTTTAATACATTTTTTTGTTTTTGGTGATTCCCTTTTCTTTGGACTAGCCTGTTTGGTAACTTTATTAATTGTTTTTGTTAACTCTATGTTGTGATCACTTGTTTTGTCAAGCAAACTTACTATGGAAGGTATGTCTTCTTTACCTAAGTTGTTCAAATATTCCTCTATGTTTGCTGTATTATTTAGAAACTCTAATAGTGAATCCGAATTGTATTCAGAATCAGGTAATGGTTGTACATAAGTTTTAACTTCCGATGATTTCTTCGTTTTGTGAAATGAAGATTCTAGCCAGTCTTGTGAACATCGTGCATTTTGCTGGAAATTGTAAAAGTCGCATAACTGCTTAACGCAAACCACGCAGATATCCTTAGGAAGGTCATCGTTAGAGCTTACGTTAATTGATAAGCACGATTTTATATGAAAGATAACAACAGGATCTTCAAAAATGAATACATGTTTCGATTCGACGTCCAAACATATTCTACAACAGGTTTTAATGTTGTCTTCCATTTTTAACCTTATAAGTATTCAAAAAGTAAAAATTTTGAAGAGGAAAAAACTGTCATGAGCTTGATAAAAATATCGACCCTTCAACTCAACAATATTCAACAATCCCAGTCAAATGTCATTGTCGTTATCACTTATCAGTCAGTTGTGGGCAAAAAACGAAAAAGTTAATTGTGATTCCACAACGATCTTATGAACTGACAATGTCATCTTGTCACATTTTGACCAATAAGAGAGTGGCAGCTGAATGCTGCCATGCTTATGTTGCCATTCTCATAAAATCGAAATTCCATAAAATATCTAGCATGTTGTTGTCATTATGGGAAAATAACATAAAACAAGCAGTTCTAACAGCTATAAAATTGCATGGAATACTTATACAAATAGGTACGTACGATGAGGATTAGATTCATAGAGGAGCTATAAATTGGCTATAAATAGATTTTAATTCAAAATACCTAACTATTTTTCAAAATGCAACATTTTATTTCATGTACCAAAACATGGCAAGTATACCAATTTTGACATTTTGATAAAAATATGTCATCTGTCTGTCGTTTAATGTTTATGCTATGACGCAATTTGAGTTATGTGAATAATTTAATTTTAATCGGTTAACGCAGTAAATAATTCAATGGTGCGTCTCCTACTTTGTTTCAGTGTAAAAAAATTGTGTACAACGTTTGTGATTTAGTTGAAACGTCATCCGCATATCATGTTATTATCAAAATAGTGTTAAATTCTGCGATATGTAATAAAAACGAAATTTGTTCTAGTTTTTATTTAGTACTATAAAGTTCTTATTTGTCATTAAGGATTTAATAGCTGTTAAGTCGCGGAAATAGTAGAATCCTTGCATCTTGTATTCGAGAAGAAAATTTCACAAACACCAAACTGAATAATGTCTTCAAAAGATGATACTGGCCGAGAAGCTGAAGAATCTCTGTTATATTCAGCCAGACACGGAGAATTATCGGTCGTTAAAGCTTTGCTTGAAGCAAAAAGAGAGGGAAAATTAACATTGGACATTAACTGCAAAGGTATATTTCTTTTAGTTTTTTTTATAATTTCAATACTTTTTATACCCAAAAAACTAAAAGCAGAGACTGCTTTGAGTTTATTTCAAACAGAATGAGTATTATAACTATATTTTTTTACTTGTTCTACATCTATCGCAAATTTCTGTTTGGGAGATACTTGCAAACAAACATCCATCTATACATTCACATTTATAACATTATCTAATAATCCATATTAACACAATAAACAATTCCAATGACCTTACTGTTAGAATTGATTTTAAAAGGTTGTGCAATATGAAAGTATATAGTAACAAAAATACCTTGCCAGTCACATAGATATGGATTAGCATAAATTATGTAAAACACAGACCATATACATCTTATATGATACAAAATTATTATGTAATTTAATACCCTCAGGCTATGAGTCACCTGTTAGTATCAAGTTTATATATTTATAAAATTGTCTAATGTTCCATATAGAATACATAGCCAGTATGTATTGTAAAATGAACTATACAGAGTAGGAATAGAACACATTTTAGCTTGTAACATCTAACATTAGGTTATGTCTTGAGGAAACTTGTTTTGAAGTCTATTAGCATATACATATAATATATAACACACACTGGAATTATAAAGTTTGATTATTTCAATATGGTCAACCTTGACTTGGCTATAGTTTTTTTGGGTAACCTGCAATCACTATTTTTTTCTTTTGCTTCCTTTTAGCTAAGCATGATGTTTTTTTTTCGGTGTGATCCCTCCACAGAAGGCTCACTCATCATGTAATATGACTAAAGATTGTTAAATTATTTAATGGATAACTTTAAAGTTAGAATGAATTAGTAAAACAAAGATGTACCATCCCAAATTGTAAATTAATACTTAAGTTGACTATTATTTCATGTATATACTCGAAAACCTAAAAGTATTCATCATTCATCAAAATAATTTACTATTATATTGTTATTACTTTGCTGGTATTTTAAAGTACTAAGGTAATAGATAGATTTATGCTTAGTTTTGAAATGAAAAAATATAGACAAATTTTTATTCTTATAAAAGTCTTATGTCTTCTTTAAAAAGTTTTATGAATTTAATACATATTTTTTTATTCTTCAATCTCTAAACATGAAAAAACCTAAAATAAAGTTCCTTTGTAGGCATTTTTCTTTACATATATGAAACAGATTCATAATATCAATAAAGCTTTAACATTTTTCAATGTCTAAAGTCATCTGTAATCATATTGATCCAGGCAAAAGCAGAATAAACTATGGCTGGACACCGCTACATTTGGCTACATACTTTGCGCACAAGGAAGTTGTTGAGGTGCTGCTCGACAGCGGCGTAAATGTTGACGAAGTTAACGACAATGGCGACACTGCACTGCACAAAGCTTCATTCACTGGAAACGAAGTTAGTATATTGAAAACGATAAGTAGACAAAAGGTTAAACTAGTTGATTACACTTAAATAGAAATGGCTCAAGCCTATTATACTACAAAGTGTAACAATTCAACTTAGTCTGCATTGCTGTGTATTTATCGAGACTTGAATAGATTTAAACTTATTAAATTTTACATATTTACTTATTAAAAAATACTACAAAAGCATAACTCACGCCTTTAACCCAGAGGGGTGGGTAGAGACCATGTACCTCCATTTGGTGTGGTCCTGGCACACTTCTCTCACTCCTACATTCATACATTTATGCATATATGCACTTCGGCTTCGGGTGTTTTTAATGGGCGATATTCTTAAATATTTCATCAATCTGGACGCTCACTTTCGCGCCATAAGTTTCCTTCGTTCATTTCGTTAATTTTTTCATTGTGTCAAAACTATATAGTATAGTAGTTTCATAGTACTACTACTTTAGTACTATTATGAAACTACTATAGCTAATTTGAACTATTCAGGAACTAGTGATCCTCCTACTAAACTACAAAGCGGATGTCAACATAATGAATGGTGAAGGTCAGACTGCGTGTGACGTCAGCAAGACACATGATGTACAGCGGCTGTTGGAAGCAGCACAGAGAGCTGAGCGAGTGGACAAGGAACGGCAGCTCCTCACTGCAGCTAAAGACGGACGAGTTGAAGAAGTTCAGGCATTGGTAATATACATCTGTATTAATTAAATGCCACCTTTTAGTCTTTATTTGACAAACATCCAGTTAATGCTAATTTTAATAGTATTCTAGTCTTATCTTGAATCTTGAATTTATGGCTTGCCTAGCTGACCATGGGGAATTAAAAAAATAATTAGTAGCTCAAGTATCCTTCCATACTTTGTTCTACATTATGCTAAATTTCATCGAGAACTATTGAACCGTTTTGGAGAAACCTTCTTACAAACATCCATCAATCTAAACATTCGCGTTTATGATTTTGGTAAAATAGGGTAAAGGCTGGATAAGAGTAAATATTCACTTATTAATCTATCTACTCCTTGTAAAGAGGAGTATACATTTATAGGAAAGGCTTAGGCAATGCAGAAATTATTGCAGATCTCTGGTTTCTTAGTGTTCTTCTATTATACTTAGCCTGTGTATTGTTTTCCAGCTAAGTGGTGTGAGTCCTCCCAACATAAACTGTGTGGACAGTCAAGGTAACTCGGGGCTGCACTGTGCGGCGTACCGCGGGCAGGCGCGAGTCGCCGTCCTCCTGCTGCAGAACGGCATTGACACCACGCTCAGGAACAATACTGGTACGGAAAGGGGCTCATCTCTTATGAGATCTCAATATTGTTTTGTTCAATGTGAATGTGTTAAAGAGAGATTCGATCGTGGAATCTAATGGTTGATATTTGGTGTACTGCAGGTCAGCTGGCGATAGACCTGGCGAAGGACGATGATATGCGCGAGGTGCTGAGCGTGCGCCCGGTGCAGAAGCTGCAGCGCACCGCAGCCAGGTTCGAGGGGCCTCTGCTCAAGAAATCCCGTTTCCTCGGCTGGAGGCCAGTTTGGGTTGGTTACACAAACACACTTGAAACTAATCTCGTTTTAAAAGAAACTACAAAATACTAGCTGTCTCCCGGGACTCCGTTCGCGCGGATTAAAAAAAACATAACAAGGAGCCTATGTGTTCTTCCAGATTACGTTCTACATGTGTGCCAAATTTCATCAGAATCCATTGTGCCGTTCCGGACATACCTTCAAACAAACATCCATCTATCCATCTAACCATTCGCATTTATAATATTAGTAAGAAGTAAGATTACGTTGTATTACATGTACTAAGGCGGTGCTACAACGCGGCGTGCTGATGTACTACGGGTCGCGGGCGGAGGCGGCGCGGTGCGGGGCGGGGCGGGGCGGCGGCGGGGGCGGGGCCAAGAAGTACCTGGACGGAGCGCGGCTGACGGCGCCCCCCGCACAGCCCGCCCTCCTGCTGCTGCACTACAGCGACGGTGACAGCCATCGCCTCGCTGTTGATGCTGCGGAGCCGGACACGCTCGCCTGCAGACAGGTACCAGCCACCAGGCACCAGGCACAGGATGGTGGAAATACCCCTTAACATCCAACTTAACTAACCGCAAGTTTCCCTCCCACTTTTAAACTTCTACAGTCATCAGTTTCTTGTCGATGTTTGTATTCCATAATTATTATTTTTTTGCAGTCATGGATAACAGCACTGAACGAGCACATCGCGTACTCCGGCCACTACCTGTGGGCGGGCGCCGGCCCTGAGACCGCCAAGGAGGCCACCGAGGACGACGACTGCAAGCCACTTGGTTAGTTACAATATTTGTAATATGTATATACAATAATATATTATACTAGTGATAGTACGCGACTTCCTCGGTGTAGAATAAAAAAAATAGTTTATAATATGCCCGCGAACATCAGCTCTGTCTTTCCATCCAAATCCTATTAAAATTGGTCCAATCGTTCCGAAGATAACTCGGAACAAATACGGCCTTGCTAACATATAGACTGACAAACAGACAAAAATGAAAAAAAAAACAAACTTTTTTGATTATCAGCAATACTAATATATCATAACGAAATATGTTTTTTTATCTTACACACAGACACTCAAATTTGATATGTGTATATATATGTTAAGTTACGTATACGCACGCGTAGGATCGCGTACGTGTAGGTATGTATAGTATGTGTGTGTCAGGGTCGATGCAGGACGCGCTGACGACGGCCAACAACCGGCTGGCGGTGCTGGAGACGCAGCTGCGGGAGTGCGGCGCCATCCTCTCCGCGCTCGACAACACCGCCGCACTCGGCAACTCCCTGCACCACTCCGCCTACATGGTACACCATACGTTATCCATCTCACTGACAAAACTGTGTAAAAAAAGTACATCATTTATTGTTTGAAAACAACTAGAAATACATATAATAACGTTAAAGTGTAAATTAATCATAATAATATTATAAATGTGAATGTATGGATGGATGTTTGTTTGAAGGCATCTCCAAAACGGCTGCATGTATCTCGAAATTTAGCATTGATGAAAAAAAAGCTTAGCAAACTATTAAGTTTGATATCAGCTCACAAGATCACTCATATCCACTGGAGAACTCGGATTGTACCCTATGTTAGAGGTGATTAAGCCAAGGTCAATGCTGGACTAGTGCGGGTTGACTTTACCCATATATTTGAATTTCTTTTCATATATGTGCATCACGATGTTTTCTTGCACCGTAAGAACATCGGATGTAGCTATGTATGTGTGTGTGTGTGTATGTGTGTGTGTGTGCAGAGGTTCCAGCACGCGTGCGGCACGGGGGCGGAGGCGCTGAGCGCGCTGCGGCACTGCGCCGCGCTCGTCGCGCAGGCACGCGACAGGGACCATGCCAAGCTCGCCAGAGAGGTCACACTTTTTCCTAAGCACTCCATGTCTAAAATTATTTTCATTTCATCCGCCGACATGTTTGATTTTACTTTAATAGATGCATTATATCCAATCTCTACGACAGCTAAACGGATCTACCTAAAATTTACTAACATAAATGCGAACGTTTAGATGGATGGTTGTTTGTTAGTAGATGTCTCCAGAATGATAGCATGGATCACGCTGAAATTTGTCATGGATGTAGAACATAGGGTAGAACAACACAAGCTACTTATTAACTATTTTTTTTAACTCCGCACAGACGAAGTCGCGGCCTCAAGCTAGTATAGCAAAAATGTAGAACATAGTTTAAAAGAAATGTTTAAAGTATCTGTTGTGTGCGCAGTTAGAACGCAACCGCGTGCTGGAGGAGGCGCTGGCCGCGCTCGCGAGGACGCACCACGCCCTAGAGATGTCAGTCGCTGACGAGATCACAAAGGTAACTTTAGTGTGGGCTTTCACTGTCTAAACGCAAACACAATATTCTTACTAAATAATCAATGAACTCATAATTCATGCGTCGATATACCTTAGTTGTTATTTAAATGTCTTTTTAATAATCTTTTTTAGAGTAAAAGAAAAAAGAAATTATCACAAACCGAATCGAAAGAAAATTTCTTTGATGTATATGACGGTAAGTGCCTTTTGCGATAAGTTTCCAAATTATTTTACTTGAAATGGTCATTGACAACGTGTTTACGTGACATGTTCAGAGTCAGGCGACGATGACGACGACACGCTGGTGACGGCGGGGCTGTCCAGTCCGCTGGGCGCGCTCAGCCCCTGGGGCAGCAGTCCTGACCTCACGCGACACACGCCCATCGGAAGTGTTGATAGTGAAGAAGGTAATACTAAAAGGATATGCATGGTTAAGATATCTTTAGCAAAAAGCGGCAATTATATATTTTAATTTTGTAACTAGTATTGGAACGATCCCGTACAAATTAAATAAAACGTTTTTATTAAATCACGCTCAGTCACCCATTAATCTCATCATAGACGTTTTTGGCTATTATTAAGTAACGAAATGATTCAACGATGCATTACAATTTCTATATTATTTTTTAAATATAAACATGCGTATATTAGATGAGAAGACAGCAACAAACGAGGGCAAGCTGGAGCGCGCGGTGTCGGGGTCGTCGTGGTCGTTCCGCAGCGAGTGCTCGCGCGGCACGCTGGTGTCGCAGGACGGGCACGTGTACCGCAACGCCCGCCCCTACCGCAGCCCCGCCACGCCCAGGTAACAGCGAGTGCTCGCGCGGCACGCTGGTGTCGCAGGACGGGCACGTGTACCGCAACGCCCGCCCCTACCGCAGCCCCGCCACGCCCAGGTAACAGCGAGTGCTCGCGGGAGACGTGCCCCGCCCATTCGCCTGTTAGCTTCGCCCACCAAAAGTTCACGTTAAGCATGACCAATTGACAATAACGTACAAGTTACAAAAATCGGTAGTACGACAGAGAGCGCCCCTACAAAGTCCAAATTTGCGGAATGTCACATTCTAAAGATCTGTGTAGAACACTTTTCTTATGTTTTAACTTTTGACATATTTTAAGTTAAAAATATTTATTTTTTGTTATATTTGTAAAATAATTTGTTTTTCTCTATTTATTTTGACTTTTTAGTAATTTATTTTATTTTTTACTTTTGTTTCAGTTCTGACAAATCGTAGTAGGGCTGTATAAAGCACATCACAGGACACAGCATTTATCTTATGACATTTAGCACAAACATGGTAACACATTTTAAATATTTCCATAAATATTTAAAAGGAATTATTATTAATTCATATTAAATGTACTGTTTCATATGATTTAGGTTTTCATGAAATATACTTGCCAAGAAAAAATATTATATTTTAAAAGATGACAATTATTTTTGTTTATGGCCTGTAAGACAGGAAAATGAGTAAAAGGTTTTAAGAGATTCAACTAACAGGAAATTAGCTGTGCGTTTCCACTGCCAATATACTTGTATGAAAACATATGCCTTTTCATTGGATATACCAATATGTATAAATACATGTATTTCGGTAGTGTAAACTCATGTTAAATTACTGGATACGCCGATATTATGTTAGATTGTGGTATTCTTGCGATTTCTAAGAAATTATTTATTTTGAAAAATTTTCTCGATCTATTAATTTTACGTAATTTTTTTATGTAAAACTAAAGATTCAGCGGAATGGGATTGGAACTGAGTTGTTTATTTTGCCAATCTGATTTAACTTTAGAGTTGTTACTGAACAATATTAATCGTAAACTGATATATAAACACTGCTAAACACTCACGTATATACGTCCGGTGGCGGCACCGACTAGTTTCGAGCCCATCGGGGGTTGACGGCCCCCGATGGGCCGTGAGCCCCCGATGCGCGGACTATCCGCGGACGCGGCCCGTCGCCACTGAGTGAGCGACTGGCCGCGTCCGCGAAGTAATAACAGTGCCACTCATCCTGATGAAGGGCCCCCGATGGGCTCGAAACTAGTCGGTGCCGCCACCGGACGTATATACGTGAGTGTTTAGCCGTGTTTATATATCAGTTTAGTATAATGTCTCACGAAAGTTTGAATAATTTAATATTAATCGTGTTAAAAAATAGCATGGAATTAATTTGGAGAAAAAAAACCTCGGATTACCGACAATCATAATCTTGCAAAATATTAGTATGACATTAATAGACTTTCAAAAACCTTCTCTTTTTTCATCTTACGACATAAAATAGCTGACAAACTGTATTCCTATTCTATACTAACAAAAACACAAAGAAAATTTCTTTAAGAGAGATTTTGGTCAAAATGCCATAAACAAAAAAAAAGCAATAATTTGTAATTAAAATTTAAAAATGCAAGTTCCAGTTACCATATCCGATCTTATGATATCCTAGTACAAAATTAAAATAATTTTTAATAAACAGTTAATATTAGTAATGTTTTTAATGATATATAATTATAATGAAAATGATTAAACATTTAATATTAAAATGGTAATATTGTGATTTTAATGAATCTCGTAGTTAAGATGATTAAAATTAATAATAGCAATAAAAATCAAAGCTAAAGCCATTTAATTATGTTTGATAAAAGACGAAAATAATCTTTAAAAACTATCATAAAGTTTAGTTGACTAAAGGTTGGTTTCTCACATCAAAATCTCAGTATAAAACATATCGTCATCTCTGTCATTATCTTTGACAAAACAGAGATAACTATATGTTTTAAACGGGGATATTGCTCTTAGAAACCCACAGTAAGTATAGCGTCCTTAATAATGTATTCATTTAACGCACAAAATATACAATTAACGCACATTATTAAAACACTTAAGTCTATACTAGGCGTATGCTCCAGTTTTACCCGTGAGGTAAATCAACTTGATACTGAATAATCTAAATCAGTGGTTCCCAAAGTTATCCACGGGAGTCCAGCTAAGTTGTACTATGGCGGGAAAAAAGGTTCAAAAGTAGATGAAAAAAAATAGCAGCAAGGTTTACCCGAAGTGTCTTTCTAAGCCGTCAGTCGCCCATTGCTGGGCACAGGCCTCCCCCAATGATCGTCTCGATGACCGGCCCTGTGCTACCTGCATCCAGGACGCTCCCGCAACCTTGACCAGGTTATCAGTCCATCTTGCGGGAGCCACGCTGCGTCGACCTGTGGCCGCCACTCTAGAACTTTGCGGGTAATATGGCCGACCCATCGCCACTTAAGGTTTGCAATTCGGGCAATGTCGGTTACCTTAAAAAGGATGTACAACAGAAGTTTAATTGAACTTTGGGAATCTCTGGTTTAAATTATTCCGCAATTAAATCTAATTAATAGCTCCTTCTTTATTAACGCGTACAAAATCTTCCGTTTTATCACATTTAGTTTATTGGATACCTCATAGTTTAATAATTTTTAAAATAGAACATCACTCACATTCCATACCATTGTTCGATGTATAAAACATGTGACATGTAAATAGACTAGTCAATTTCAAATGGTTACCTAATGATATGAATAAGATTATTATATATTATATTATATATATATATATATATATATATATATATATATATATATATATATGTACGTCTTTATGGAATCTCTCGAAAGTTTAGAAGTATTGGCTTTACTTTAATACGCGAATGTGAGTTATTGTGATAATTTTATTAAGAGTATTTTTTCTATGATACTTTGTTTTTTTTTTTATTAATTTACTTAATTTTAGTTCATAATAAATGTTTATTTTTAATTATTTTCGTTTCATTTTAACAACACCTTTTTATTTAGTATTCTGTTTATTGATTTCATTTTATTCAGTTAAGTATTTTCATTAAAAACAAACGAATGATTTAAATTGTAGATGAAGATTTGAAATGCGATTATTTTCTATGTGTATAGTGCTATCCAAAGTTTACTGTGGCTCGGAAGTTTTTACGAGACGTTGCACAGAACACAGGGACGTAATCCACAGTAACCCAGCTAACTTGCAGCTACCTGTGAGCCGCTAAACGTTGTGAATATTATCGTGTAAATTTTGTCAAAGAGAATGAAAGAGTTGATAATATTAAAAGTATCATACCAGTGGACAGTTCTACAGTAAAAAAAAGTTTGAATAAGTTAGTTTGAATATAAGTCGTGACAACTCGCATAATAACCTAATTTTCAATTCAAATTATCTTCTTTGTTTATATGTTACGTTTCATAAAAGTCAATGTTATAACGATAATAGGCTTAAGGGAGGGGGGGGGGGTGTAGACGTGAAAGGAAGGGGGGATTAGGGGTGTGCTGGCAGTGTCGAGGACATCGCTATAATTCCTTTTGGGATATAATCCATTGATGTATAATCCACGGCTAAAATTAGTTCAATACAAAATATAATAAGTAACATAAACTATATTTATCCATATGTTACTTTACAATAAAAGTTGAGCCTAATGGTTAAGGGTACGGATTTCTGATCACCTGGTCGGAGGTTGGAATCCCGCCATTCGACGAAACCATATCCCAGCATAGAGCTTTGTTGGAATGGTACAAAAAATATTATTAGATTAACAAAAATCTACTAATTTTTATTAAAAAAAAGGGTTTGTTTTACATAGCACCAAATTCAGGTCAATTCCGCCGAATGACCAATCATTGAAACTGTACAGATTGCGTCAAAACACGATCGTTACTGAACGATACGCGTGGGATTCAGTACAGTGAGATTGCTTTTAGGCTTTTATTGTAATTGTATCGTTTGTTGAACGAACAACTATTGAACCCAATAATTTATTAAGGTCTATTTTTGTGTAATGAATGTTAGGTAACATTTTAATTCATTAATAGTAATCAGTGATTTACTTTTAAAAATATAAATGAATATCAATTTATTATATAATCTGTTGTTTTAAAGTAAATAAAATAAAAATCTAGTAATAGAAATAGCCAATATCAACCGGAGATAGTGTAACTTTCCTATAGTGAAAAAATTTTTCAAATGTCTTTCGTAGTTTTGGAGCCTATTTATTGCAAAGAAACAGTCAAATATCTGCTTTTTACAATATTAACTGCAGTCTACGAACACCTAGGCCCTACGACGTAGTGCATGAAGCTTTTTTACAGCTTTATCAACTACACTGGAAACATGTTTTTGTTTTTTGCAATGAATAATTAAAAGTTTAGCTTTTATTCAGTATGTAAATTAATTATTATTCCCTATATTTTGTACTTGCAACATAAAAGACACGAAAGTTTTATGATTACTTACCTATAAGTTTGAAACTAGATATTTTCGTGTTCTGAATCGTCCTATATACCAATAAAACTTTATGGTTATAACATCGATTTTCTAGACACGCTCTGTGCTGCGTATAACAACACATTAAACTAGATTTCGAGCAAACATCTTCAGGTCAAGTTTTTATATATTGTTAAGCTTTGAAATCGAACAAATTTGTCGTTGCTTTGTCCTTATTGTTAACCTCTTTCTCTTTGTTTTATTCTTAAACATAATCGATAAGTAGCGCGCCTTTTTTCTAGTTGTTCTTTTGTTTTAATGGAATATCAAATCTATACGTAATATAAAAGAAAATAGTACCGCTTATATTCATAGTAGGATACTCTTGAAGGCATTATTTGTACTACAATTTGCTATAAATTTAGTTAATTGGTAATCTTAAGCTTTCTAACGATTCTGAGAAAATGTTAGTACTGCGGAGACAGAGTGAAATATTCTGGATTTTACATTTTCATTATTCTGTTGTAGAATATGCATTTATTGGATTAACTAATAATATTTCACACTTATATAATTCAGACATCTAAATAAAGTTCAGAAATGATGATATAACAGTAATTTGCAAAGTGCTAAACACACTTAAAATTTTACCGCAGCTTTCTTCGTGGCCCAACTTGGGCGCCAGTAGGGTCTTGTGGGGAGTAGTCGGTATGAGAGGGGACGTCGCAGAGTGGGGGCAGGGGATGGTGACACCCTGTCTCTCGATTCTGGCTCGAATATCACTCAGTTGCGCCGCAGCGCTGGCCGAGTTTGATCGTGTTTGTCGCGTTCATGAGTCATACCACATATGACACAAAAAATCGTGAGTGGACATCCGGTTACGTAATCGATTTTTGTTTTTCAGTTTACTGTTAACATTTTAGAGGTTATTTTCGTGAAATGACTTTTCCTTATTCGATCCAACATATTATTCTATGTACCGTAATATACGTAATAACATGTTAAGTAAAGCTTTCAACTTAATACCATTTTCAAGTTGAAATAACAGTATGTTTGAAAACATTAATCTATTATAAATACATTTTAATAATATAAAAACACACATTATCGTCGTTTTCTGTATAAAATCATTTAATATATAAAAAGCTTTACCACGCACGAATCGTCAATAATTGTACTCAATGTAAAGTGACAAAATCTACAATATGACACTTTATATATTGTTCAGGATAAATTCCGTTTTCGTTAAAGAATGAAACGATTTATTAACAGAGAGCAACACAATAAAGCTACTTAACATAATCGCAACCATTAAAGTTACTGGAAATTATAACTAAATAAATTATTGCAAACTATAACATCAAAAATTATCCATTTAGTAAATAGCGTGTTGATTCGAAAGCTTCGAAATTAGTTAATACGTAACATTTTCATTGCTATACCTAACGCAACAAACATTTATATACATAAATATATATATTACATAAAAATATATGTATTTAGTTAAATATAAGTAGTGGGTACGTCGCTCCGCTTCAGGTCACTTAGATGTTGTGCTTAATTGGACCGTAATGGTTTCACTCTACCCTGTTGCGGACGACAAGTTAATCTAAATAGAAAAAAAGAATTGTTTAGCAAATTTTTATTTATAAAATATTTACCCATTAACTTTTAGTGACGTTCTACAATAAAAGGTATTATATGAAGTAGTTCTATTCATATTCTACGTTCTATAAATAATCATCAAGATTTGAAGGTTATGTCGCTTTAGAATATTAGGTACTTACTGTTATTTTTCGTGTTTTGACCTTGAACTTCTCTACTTGAGGATGACATTAATAGTTAGCTTTGCAAGATTTTAATTAGTTAAAGATATCGTAACTTTTAAATGAAATAAAAGAGAATAAACTAAGCCACTTATTTTGAGGTCAAAATAAATCATCACTTCAACTTAATAAAGTCCTGTTAAGATTAAGTGTAGTTAAATGGAGTGGTAATTCAATCAGCTCTCTGCGCGAGTGGTTTTCAGAATCCAAGAGCCTCCGGCTTCACTGAAGGATTCTTGAGACGATACCTAATATTAGTGTAATATTTTCAACGTTAAAATTGGATTTTATGCGAAATAGACTATGATTAATTATATTTATCGATATTTATTGATAAGTTCATATACCACTTAGTATTAAAAGCTCACTGGTGAACTTAGAAATGTCTGAACAAACTCTATTTCTAATTCGATTTACATTAATTTCTTGAAAGAGCTTTGAGCTTTATTTTCAGGTAAATTAACGAAAACAGTATGTATGTTGCATGTTTGTTGGCGCAGCTCCAAACACAGGTAGAACTAGAAGGCCCTTCTATAAAATTGACCTATTTTATACTGTGTTTTGTTTGTACTGCATTATAATTTTTAATTATGCAAATCTTGTTTTATGGCTTTTGATTTCAATGAGTAAGCAATTTTTATTTGTTAATTTAAGTGTATAAAGTTTTATTTCGTGTAACTTTTCAAATTTAGAGATATATAAAAAGCTATATAAGATATATAAAAATATATATAAACGTAAGTGTACGTAAGAAGCTTGAAGTAATTTTGATATTAATTGTTAATTATTTTAATAACAAAATATCATAACTGTTATTAAGTTGTTTTATGTTAATTTATGTATGCATCGTCACGTTACAGTACTTAAAGTTTAAGTACAGATTAAGTTCTAAGCTTGAAAGACCGCTTTGTCGTCTTATGAAAATAATGTCATAGTTATAAAATACCTCAATCAACTTTATATCGCCATTAATATTTTCTTGACAAAGTTCTGAAGTGTCAAGTATACTTTTAACACAAAATGTAATGTTATTAAAAGCTTACTTGAATCTTTTATGTATAGAAATACGAATTCTATAACAAAAAAGAACATAATATTTTGATTACTATGTCAAAACTGGCTTTGCCCCGGAACATTTTTTGCAAAAATTGTGTAAAAATTAAAAAAAAAACTTACTTTATTCAGACCTTGAATATAACTCGAGTCGTGAAAGACTTACATTTGCAAATTAAAAAATATATTCAGACTGAATAAGCCTGAATAATAAATCGTTGATCTCCATCCATAAAAATCTGTTTAAAAAAAATTAACAGTGGTAGAGCCCGCTTTAACATCTTCGCACGAATCGGCCCGGCTCGCCCGGTGAAATACCACGACCACACAGAAGACAGGCGTGAAGTGGAAGCAATTCCGCGTTTCGTCTGATGAGTGTGCGTCCCGGAGGCCAAAATTAGTCCTCTTTCCCTTCCCATCCTATTTCTTATAAGGAAAGGATGGGAAGTGGAAGTGGACTTTCCGGATGAGAGGATGCATGGAAAGGGAAAATATTTTCTTTCTGTGCATCCTCTCCTCCGTCGATTAAAGGTAGGCAACGCATATGCAATTGCGTATGTCTATGGGCAACGGTCACTTCGCTATTTCAGCGATTTCAGGTGGCCGCTCGCTCGTTTGCCACCTTGTGATATAAAAAAAAAAAAAAAAAAAAAAAAATCTGTGCAACTTTGTAATAGTAAAGACCCTATTCGTAGTTCCAATCAAGAGGGTAATTCGCAAACTGCTAGTCCGATGTAAAATAGCCGTGTATTCAGTGATCGTATAACCCCGACATATCGACCCGCTAATTCTGGCTCAACGCCAAGCGAACCTTTGCCGACCTGTTGGTTGCTTTGATACTTTATATTTTTTAAACATTCCTTCTAATGGCTTTAAAGAATGGAATATTACGAATCATTCTTTAGTTTTATTGTATTTTTTTAATAACTTTTTTTTTGTCAAAATTTGTGAGTAATGAACATGATTAGAACACACTGTACTTGAATAATAGCATTTTGGCAACGATTCTTTATTCAAAAGTTTGCATAACGTTTTCTCTTAACTTCCAACTGTTCTAAATTTATATAACAATAAATTTTCAATGCGTAGAATTATTAACATAGATATTAGACTTCATTAATTAATTTGTAAGGTGAGTCTTCAAATGCATCAAAAGCACCTTCACGAATTACCTTATTAGTATTTTAGTCACGAATTTGAGACACTTTGAGACTACGATTTCATTAAAACGTGACAAGAGGGTTAAGATGAGACGAGCTTAAATAGATCCATCAGAATATTTAAATTATTTTCCTACCGAATAAGTTAAAAGTGTAAGTTTTATCTTCATTCTATAACTAAACTTTAAAAACTTAGGAGAGTCGTCAAAAATTATATTTCTCTTTTTTATCAATATTTTGACATACTCTTCAGTTATGAAAAAATAAAAAATTAAAGAGACTTGTTTAGCTAAAAATAAAATGAAATTGCGTACTTCTCTTAGTTGTGAAGTCCATTTTGAAATCATCCCCTCATCACGAGATGAGCTTTACAATGGGATGACCTAAAAACATGCTGTTCGCTTTAAGTGTTACGTCGTTTCTATTCAAGTTTTACCGTAGTTTTGAAGGAGATTTTACAAATTTTCGTGAATGCAATTTACTACTTCATATGTTGTTTGAATTAGTTAGTATTAAAAAAAATATCGCGAGTGATTAATAGTAGGTTTTTGTAACCAGCCTTGTAGTAGCAAAAAGGAGGTTATCAATTTGTCTGTATGGGTTTTGTTACGGTCCTAAGTTACTTTTTAGACATTTCAGGAAATACCTATTTTGATGATGTACCTAGTAATTTTTATTCCGGACGTTTTCGCAATTTTTTACGACAATATTATGATTTTCTTTTTTTAATTCCCAGTTAAATTAAATAATAATATGGATATCAAATAGCGTAAGTGACATTGAACAGTTGTTTTGTAAAAGTTTTGCAAACAGTGTTTCGACAATAGTTGCGATTACAAAGAGAAGAGAAGAGAGTGAGAAGGTGGTGCTTGTTGTAAGATGGAAGATAATGTTGACGGGGTATACAAATACAGGTGAGTTTCCATTGTTATTACAACATGTTACAAAAGCTTACGGTAAATAAAACATTTTTGGATAAAAATTCTATGTTAATGCAATTTAACATTGTAACTCGATATTGTTTTTTAGATTTTCAGCGACGCAATTTTGTAGATAGAATAACATAGTAGGTAATCCCGAGTTCGGATCGATAAGGTTTTCCTGTGAGACATGTTAGCCGCGTAACAATCTCACCAGACATTGGGAGATGTATAATCTTAGAACATTTTTGTATAAACAAACATTTTCTTTGACACACTCACAGAAGAATTATATATATTAAAAAAAAATATATATATTTAGATGTAGATATAAATGTACTTTTATTTGTGTTAAATGATATTTATCCATTTTCTTAATATTAATTAGCTCATTAATTTTAACTATTCTATATTTTTGCGTATAATGAAGTCTTAAATCTAATATTTCCTTAGTAACAACTACGTGCAAACTGCAACAGTATGATTTTATACCTACTTGTAGTATTTATGTGTGATGTACCAGCGCTGAATGTTCAGGAGTTTCAAGGCCGCGTACAGGATCAATACGATGCCCGGGAAGATGTTTGCTATCTCTTTAAAGATTTTTTGTTAACGTAATTTTTTCTACTGAAAGTCTCTTAAATTACTAGCCGTAAAGATATAGAGATAAATTATATTTTTTTAATACAGATTAAATATAAAACTACGTTTTTTGGCGATTTAAATATACCTAACTGTTAATTAATCAATGTTAAATAAGTACAATGAATCATTTTATTTCTATAGCTATAAAATGCTTCCACTTTTATTCTTTAGTTTGTTTTTCATTGCATTAGTATCAGGTTTCAAAGGGTAGGGTAATTTCCCCAGTTATGACACACGCTATCGATCTGCCCGCAAATCTGAGCTTTGAGTTCCACATGACTGGGTCTGTGGTCACTTACTGAACGGTTTACACAGAATTTCCTTTAAATAGCTTTGTGGTTAGTGTTATCACTTCGGTAGTCTAATTATCTCTAGTTAAATTAAAATTCCTCAATTAAAAATTAACTATTTGTGTGAAGTCAACCCGCACTGGACCAGCACAGATAAGTATGGTCAGCCTTGACTTAGGGTAGACTCTGAGCCCCTCGGTGAGGACGTATCGTGAGCTGATGATGAAATAAAAAAAACACTAATTGTAATAGCATTTGTCAGAGTTAATTGTTTTTTATTATACATTTTGTTACTGAATACGAGAGTAGTACAGTATTTTTTTATTATAATTTAAATGTCACTAAGTGACGATTCTGCAACATCGTTTCATCAACAACTGTATATTGAGATAATTAAAGGAGAATTTTTATAGAGTTGAAGCATTAATTTTAAGAAGTTATATGCCTTTACCTAAATAACTAACAAGTAGTTATTTAGGTAAAGGCATATAACTTCTTGCTATTCGCTCAACCCAATTTACTAAATAAGCGAGAAAGAGTATCCAATTCCCGCATTTCCTTTATAGGTCAAGGATATTTTTGGGCAACGTATAAAATCGTCCGCCTTGTCCCTTTTTGCGATTTATTCTTCAGGATAAATGTTCCTACTTCTATAATTCAAGTAAAATGTAAGATGAATGTATAAAAACGTAATAGTAAATATTTTTTTATTTTTTACCCCAGGTATTTTAGTAATTAAAAATAACTGGAGCTTTTGATTTTCCACTAAACTTAGGAACATAATATGAGAGCTTTAATAAAGTTTTGTAAATCATCTAACCTAGAAAATAGCAATTACATGTTTATCGTAAACCATAAAATATAGCACTTGATTTTGACGCGGCTATTAATTCTTAATTGGGCCAGTGCTCTATATAGCCGTTGGATTACTACGGAAAGCGATGACTTTCTACGCATCGTAAATTACTCTTACATTTGTCTCATCAACAGTTTTCATCGCCGAAACATGTTATAAAAAACATTGTTAAATCGAATATACTTCAAGATAACTTTTCATAGATCTTTGGCGAGTACCTTCAATTAATGTTATCGAACTTTTAAACTTTTTTCTAGAATTTTAAAACAAAAATCTTCAAATAATTATTGGGAACATACGCTTAATTTTTTATTAGTCTATATATCGCCTGCGAGTCAGTCCGCGCAGAATTAAAAAAACACAATAAGTACTCTGACTTCCAGACTACATTCTATATTTATGCCAGATTTTATCGAGATCCGTTGTACCGTTTTGGAGATAAGACAAACAAACATCCATCCATCGATTTAAACATTCGCATTTATAATATTAGTAAGATGAATTAAGCAATATTTGACAACGATCTTCATTCTTTATTATCCCTTATGTTCATGAGGTAATTGCATGTGGTCTGTTAATACTTTTTTTTATATCATAAGGTGGCAAACGAGCGAGCGGCCACCTGAAATCGCTGAAATAGCGAAGTGACCGTTGCCCATAGACATACGCAATTGCATATGCGCTGCCTACCCTTAATCGACGGAGGAGATGATGCACATAAAGAAAATATTTTCCCTTTCCATGAATCCTCTCATTCACGCCCGTCTTCTGTTTGGTAGTGGTATTTCACCGGACGAACCGGGTCAATTCGTGCGAAGATGTTAAAGCGGGCTCTACCACTGTTACACTTACTTACATAAAAACAGTAAAACACTGGATTGAATTCTAAGTAAAACGGAACAAGTTGTGTTAATTGAGTTGTACGGTACAGAAATGTTGAGTGCCGAGTTTGAGAAGAGGCCACGGGGAGGGAAGGGAGTCTCGGGGGAAACTTGTTCTGATTAACTTTGCGGAAATGAATATAAACTGCGGCTAGCAAACATTCGCTGCTACCAAATTGCTTCTTGAATTTTACATTTCGTTGAGAAATTTCGACGTTTTTTTTTTAATTTTTGCATTTACTTGTTATTATAGGTTTTGAATTATTTAGTAAAAAAATATTTTGTACAGTAAAATCATAAAAACAGTATTATACCTGAACAGCACATTTTTTATATAATCGCAAGCAGATTTATTAAACTATAGCACAATGTTACGGTAACTAGTTCATATTTAATTCTTATAATACGGAATGTTTTAAATATTTTACCAAAACTAATATAGACTCTTTAGACTGAATTTCAAAGCCAAGAAAAGAAAACACCTGCATTACCGAGATGTTATTTTCACTTTACACGGCGTTTGGAGGTTAACCAGCATCCCGATCGATCGCGGGGCGGCCTTGAGCGCCACTAGGCCTTGTAGCCCCCTAGCTCCTACCGCACTTCGCGTTGCCTCATGATTACCACAACTGTAATTATAATTACACTAAAGTACAGATTTACACTGCATTACATATTTACCCTGCATTACACATTTACACTGCATTACACATAAACACTGAGTTCTTATAAATTATTAATTGAGCTTTTATTAATTACAACAAACTTACGTATGTTTATTTTGTGAAAGAAATCCGCAAACACTGTATACTCAACAAATAGCTAACTCAACATATTTTAGAAAGTGTGTAATATATTTTTACATCAAAAATAAATGACACTTTAATACTAATATTCCAGTTTACAATTTGTAGAATTCCAATGTAAAAATAGATATTTTCCACTACTTGTTATCACCCTCGTATTTCTCAACAAAGCGTCACACAATGTGTCATTATATCACATCAAAGCGTAATCTGCACGCTTCAGAATTCGCTTTGACGATACTTTGCTGTCAAAGCTTGTCAGTATAATATTAATGAGTCCGGGAATAAACCTCACTGTATATGAATACGTAACACCCTGTACATACAGTTACAATACGTATTAAAAAAGACCTCGATGAATGTAATACAGCGTCGCAAAAGGTATAATGAAGTTTTTTTTTTTCAAATAAGCAGGCAAACGTGCAAGCTGCAACCTGAATTCGCCAAAAGTAACCGGTGCCCATAGATATCCGCAATTGCAGATGCGTTGCCTACATTTAAGCAACGGAGTACGGGATGAACAAGAATAGAATATTTCTCCTTCCTATAAATAGAATCTTCCCTTTCCTTTCCTCCGCTAAATTCCCTTTCCCTTCCCATCATTACCCTAGAAGACAAGAGTAGGAAGGGAAGACGACTGAAATTAAGACTACGGCGTACACTTATAATAACATTATTAGTAGTGCTGTCCCTTTGCACACTCACGATGCTTCTATAATTTCTACTTTAAGTTTGAATGAAACCCTAAATGACCTTGAAATACCTTAAAAATACTTAATGTACATCGTCTATCGATACTTAGCCGTGGAGTCACCGATCAAGGTCAAATTGACGCAATCAATACTTTAGCACTCGACGGCCGATCCGTTGTGCGATTGATCGGGAATCTGGATTTATTATTATGAATTTAATAAGCAAAATACGTATTTTTTTTAATTTACCTTACGATATTGTTTCTTTTTACAGTAAAATCCTTCTTAATTACTTATGAAGTATTGTATGTAATTGAAATGTAGAGTTTGTTTGAACGCATTGACCTGTGAGGCTATTTCTTAGTTATATAGATTTGTAACTATATATATTATGTTACATTGGACAAACCAATAATTAATGAAATCTTGAAAACCAAGTTTAGGATATAATAGTACGTGAAATGCAATACTTCAGACTCAACTAACATACGGACTTGTTCTATGTAGTGCTAAAAACTATTTTAAAACTAGAAATATGAATATGCTTTTTTTCTAAATTGACGTGTGTTATCTGTACACAATATCAATACTTGATACCATAGCGAATCTATGCTATTCATGTGTACTGGTGTTTCAGAACTTCGCTACCAGTGGCACAGTTCAGCCGCGGCGATTTCTCGCTGTGGTCGGTGTTGAAGAACTGCGTGGGCAAGGAGCTGTCCAAGATAACAATGCCGGTGGTCTTCAACGAGCCGCTGTCCTTCCTGCAGCGCATGCTGGAGTATCTGGAGTACGCGCACCTGTTGCGCCTCGCCTCCGAGCAGACCGATCCTGTCGCTAGGATGGAATACATCGCAGGTTAGAGGATTATTGAGTCTTAGACTTAGCAAGAAATCAAGATATAAAATACTTGTCGGGAAATTCGTAATAAGACAACATTAAACTTTGCTAACTTTGACATACAGAATCTGATTTTTTGTCTTCTCTAAGATATTGGTTTTATCGACGTGGTCACTTATGTTGATTTCTTTTTTATTACTCGGCGGCGTCCATTTTTAATGACATCAAATAGACGGTATTTTGCATACTAAAATTACGGTTATACTAATTTGCATTGCAATGATTTTATTCTGCACAGCGTTTGCGGTGAGCGCATTGGCATCAAACTGGGAGCGTCTGGGCAAGCCCTTCAACCCCCTACTGGGTGAGACATATGAGCTAGAGCGGCCAGAGTTTAGAGCTGTTTGTGAACAGGTACAAATATAAATTTTTATGTAAACTATATGAAAAATATATATCTACATTAAGTTGCTCCTATTGAATCTTCATAGCAATAATGTGCGCGAAACCCAGTTTTAGAATCATTGTGAGCTTTATGAGAATTTTTTCTACATTCCACGTTTTAACATTCATTAACCACCAGGTTTCGCATCATCCACCAGTATCGGCATTCCACGCGGACAGTCCGCACTTCGTCTTCCATGGTTCTGTCCACCCAAAACTCAAGTTCTGCGGCAAGAGCGTCGAGATTCAACCCAAAGGACATGTTACGGTTGAATTACCAAGGTAAAAATAACTTATTACAAGCTTTTAAGCGATATTTTAATACTAACAAGTTTGATAGGTAAAGTTGGATGCAAATTCATCTTAACTGAAAATACTTAAAAGCATGAAATGTCGTCGATCTGTTCTTGACTACCACTTTATGTTTGTAGTGTTACTAAAGTAGGTAGGTAGTTGAAAAGATTTGTTTCGTTTTGTTTTACTTTATGGCCTGGCGTTATAATCAGACATAGGCCTGTTTCTTGTTAGACCAATTTAAGTTGCATCTGTAGATGGGGCGAGGCTTACACGTGGAGTAACGTGAACTGTTGCGTACACAACGTGATCGTGGGCAAGCTGTGGATCGAGCAATATGGCGCTATGGAGGTGACGTGCCACGGCGGCGCCGGCCTCGCCGCTAGCCTCGTCTTCAAGCCCGCCGGCTTCAACAACCGTGATCTGCACAGAGTTGACGGATTTATTACTGATGCCAAGTCAGTACACAATAGCTTTGTTAATATTACGATGAGCATAAATTAACTGAGAATTTAAATAGAATATTTTGAATTAACTTAATGCTACACAGACAGTTGCACAATGTCACACAAAAGAAATAGTCCAACACAAACAATGGGACACACTCCGCATGGAACACAAACTAAATTATTTACAATTTTATGCAGAATTAGTTGACTACTGTCACACAAATGAAATTATTAGCCTTACTTTGTAGTACAGTCCAGCTGTTGCTTACAGTAAGAAAAAGCTGCGTTTTGTGTACGGCAAATGGACGGAGTACATCCGTAGCTGCAGCGCCGCGTCTCATGAGCGCTGGGCGCGCGACCAGGCAGCCGCAGAGTCTGCGCACACGCCCAAGAAGGTGTTGGCTAAACTCAACAGCTTCAAAGTCGGTGCCCTCCGCTCCATGTCTATACAAGATGTCAGTATACATTACCTCTTATAGCTATGTCGTTGAGCTTAACATGTTCAATAGCACTTCAATTTTGACGTAGGTACTTGTATTGTTGTATTTAAATTTAGACAGAGGAGGCGGAGAACTCAGAGGACGTGCCGAAGCCGGACGAGTCGTACAACATCGACATCCCGGACTCCACTACGCTGTGGGAGGCGACACCGCGCCCCAGCAATAGCGCACAGGTACCGAAGACGATATGCTTTTAAGCACTTTATCGAACACCCCTTATACCAACACTTTGTAGATCCCATATTCTCTAAAAAAATATGTTATCTTCTTCAATAATTATATAACCTGAGTTATGGTAGAAACTGTAAGTCTAATATTATGTTTCCAGTACTACCAATTCACGGAGTTCGCGATGTCTCTGAACGAGTTGGACCGCGAGCTGAAGGGTCAAATATGCCCTACGGACAGTCGCCTGAGGCCCGACGTGCGCCTGTTGGAGCAGGGCGACATTGACGGCGCCGCCGCGGAGAAGACCCGCCTCGAGGATAAGCAGCGCACCGCCAGGAAGACGCTCAAGAAATCCGCTGACGGCTGGCAACCGAGGTATGTTTCACTCTGATATGACGATTGAAGCTGCGCAATTGAGCAAAGTCATGAACATTCATGAGATATCTCTAGCCGTAGCTGTTAAATAATGTAAAGACCACAACAAAGTTGTTATTCGTAAAAAAATTACGCAAATTTGAAATATCGATTTTCTGGGCAACAATCTATTATTTGTGTTTTACTTGGAAGCCTGCTATTACTAATTTTGATTTTATTATAATTTTAATAAAGATTTATTTTGCACAGATGGTTCAGCCAAGGCACGAATCCGTACACGAAGCAGGAGGACTGGCTGTACAACGGCGGCTACTGGGACCGCAATTACCAACATTTGAAAGACGTCGATATATTCTAATTATATAGCAAATAATATAGTATGAATATATAATATTTTTGTGTCGCTAAGCAATGTGTAGAGAATATACTTATAATTGTTATGTATAATACAAATAAAAATAAACGCTATGAAGCAAATATTAATAATTTTGAGTTAAAATGCATGTACAAGTTACTCAAAGATGTGGATATATAAAAAGTAAATAAGGCAACAGGTCATAATGCTACAGAAATAACTAAAGTATATACTTTACGACATACATACTGTGAGATTAATCAAAGTAAAAATACAGGAAGCGTACGTTAATACGTACTAATAACACAAAGAATAGATTGAGTACAGAAGAATACATTCTATAAATCTCTGTTATCTTCCTAATCATCATCCTTTACCTTTAGGTACAATTGATTAAGTCGGTTGTATTATAAATTAATTTGATTATTTATGTACTTGATTTATTTTAGCTAATTCAAAAGTAAGCGTTATTGTTTTGTCTTATAGGAAAATTTTTTTTATTATAAAGTTATGTTTATTCCATTGATGTATATCATTTTTATATTGTTTGACATTTATATTAAAGTATTAGTAACATTATAATTATTAATATAAAATTGTCTTAGTCTACCGTTGGTTTTTTTTTTATATCATAAGGTGGCGAACGAGCGAGCGGCCACCTGAAATCGCTGAAGTAGCGAAGTGACCGTTGCCCGTAGACATACGCAATTGCATATGCGTTGCCTACCTTTAATCGACGGAGGAGAGGATGCACAGAAAGAAAATATTTTCCATATCCATGCATCCTCTCGTCCGGAAAGTCCGCTTCCACTTCCCATGCTTTCCTTATAAGAAAAGGGTGGGAAGGGAAAGAGGTATAATTAGGCCTCCGGGACGCACACTCATCAGACGAAACGCGGAATTGCTTCCACTTCACGCCTGTCTTCTGTGTGGTGGTGGTATTTCACCGGACGAACCTGGCCAATTCGTGCGAAGATGTTAAAGCGGGTTCTACCACTCTTAACGACACGGTGAGGATTCGCTATTAAGGAGATACTTTTCACTGAGGGAATATTCTATAAATACTTCTAGTACTGTTTAAATTTCGTTATAAATTTATTTAATTTTCTTACGAATACGCACACAATGAAACTGGATTTTATTTATTTAAATGCTGTGTCTAAAAATCTTGAACAATTAAATTTTTTTTTAATAAAATCCTCAAAATTAATATTATATCATTGATTTATAAAAATTATGAGAATTTAGCATTAAATTGTCATTTTAAAATTGACAATCATAACATTTCGAAAACAAAGATGAATCGCTGTCATAAATCAATATTTATAACAATATTATGTTTAAATGAAAAAATGCAAAATTATTTTTAAAAAATATGATAAAATTGTCATTGTATGTTTTAAATTTAGTAGCATGATTAAAAAAATGTAATTTTATTTTTTAATTAATGACACGTAAATTAACTTCAATCTGTTATACAAATGTAACGTTGGTACGGTACGACCAACTTATTTGGCCCGGTGGGCAAAAGAAAAACGAAAGGGATGGCTTTTGTTTTTTTTTCTATTGCGTAATCGCTAATGTAACCGGGCCAGATATGTTTGTGGGATTGTAAAAATTATGATGAAAATAGTTGTGCTATCTATATAGGTACACTCGATGGTGTGTCGAAACCAAGATTACTGTTTATAATTTACTTTTAATGTAAACATAATATGCCAAATATTAAGTCTATTAGTTTCGCTACAAAAAAATCTAACCTCAAAAATTATAAATTGACACGTGTTTGAGTTTTGCCTTTGCCTCCATTATAACTTCCAAGGACGATGTCGATGTTTAGTAGTAAAATATTATTTATATTGTGAATACATTGTAGCAAATTAATAATATCCAATTAAAGGATGTAATTAGAATTGTACAGGCATTTTATTTATTATAACCTCACTCTAGAGTTAAAGGCTAGGTTGCTTTTTGATTAAAAAGTTTTATATTAGGCGAGAAAACTTTTATAAACTCGAAAACAATTGAACCTTCTGTTCATACCATTTCTATTGGACTGGCTATTAGACGTAGTATTTTGTGCCTATTTGATTTTCGCCATTTTGGCGCTGGTAGTGGCGTTTTTAGCGGTGTGGATTCGAACTAATAATACAGATTAAAAAAAAACTGGCACGTAACATCAAAAGGTACGTTTAAATTGCAACGAAGTAAAAACTTTTATTCCAAGCAAGGCCTATTATAGATATCCAGTAGTTTATCCAGAACATAATCTAACAATTTATTAAAAGCTATATTATTCTTATTCATCCATCTTCTGAGAGAGCGTCGGTGGCTCAGGGGTGACTTGACTTGCAATCTGCAGTTCCTGGGTTCAAATCCCGCCATGTACCAATGTGTTTTTCGATTTCCGATTTACATATGTACATTTATCCGATGTTATGGTGAAGAAAAACATCGTGATGCTTCACATATCTAAGAAATTCAAATATATGTGTCAAGTCAAACCGCACTTAGCCAGCATTGACTATGGCCTAATCACCCTTAACTTAGGGTATGCTCCGAGCCTCTCAGTGGGGACGTATACTGAGCTGATGATATTGACAATTGCTGTACAGGAATAAAAATTACAGGAATAAATATTACATGATTTATTACTCTTTCACTTACAAAACAATTTCACAACCTGACAATTATATCACGAAACATCACAAGAGGCTCATTATCAATATTAATAAATATAAAATTAATGATCTGCGGTATTCATAATCTGACAGTTACATTATAAATAAATTAATGGCACTATTATTGTATTATTATTTGAAAAATTGGCTTTACTATTATTAAATAATTAATATATTATCAAAAAGATAAAGAGAATATAATAAACCAGTTTTATATAAGGCTTCTATATATCTATATACAAATTGTTATACATAATATATTATAAAATTTAGATATACCTAAATCTGTCACCCGCACAGAATCAAATCACAATAAGGGAGCAATTTAAAGACTCGATGAAAATATACCATACTCATGTTTTAAACTTAAAAAAAAACTAAATGTTTATTTTTTTTATTAAAAAAAACCAACACCGACGGTATATATGTTATTCTTAAACATATTGGAATATCAGAATGGTTTTCGTCACAAAATTTTGTACTAGATTTTATTTTTGTAACATTTTGTTGATTTAACTCAGTTCTATTACAAAAAAAATATTTTGAAAATTTTTTTCCATAAAAAAAAATGTGCTACAATTTTTTTAAATTATATCGTTTCTTATAATTAATTTAATTACACATAACTTGATTAAATAGCAATATTTTTTAATTATTTTCTTCTATCTTCATATCACTTTGAAATATACCAAATATTTGAAAGTATTGAAAAATTTTATAAAAAATTTTGCTATTTAATATTTTTTAGAATTATATTTCCTTTACCTGTATAAAATATATTTAAATTAATAAACATTTATACAAGTTCCTAATCATCTAATTACAGGAAAAAATAAGCATTAAATTCATAAATAACTCAAACTATTGAGCCTCAAGGCCAGAGTCCAAAAAGTCTTTGAGATGTAGTGGCACAGCGCGCGGCATGGTCCGACAAATCTGAAAAATATATATTTTTTAAATCAAGATTTAATTAAGAAAACATATAATATCGATTAATTGTTCTCTACTCTCTTACTTTACCAGGAACAATACAAATCTTTCAAATTATAATTTTTTTAGATAAAAAAAAATGTTAGCTATAACATTTTTTACGTTTAAAATAATATAATTGTTCTATTAATCACATTTTGTTGATCAAATTATATATAGAGATCTTTTTAAATACCGATGATAAAAAACCGCTATCGAAAACAAGAATTACTACATTTATTAGTGAAGCATAATATGAATAACATTATTATGAAATAGTCAGAGTATTTTAAAAAATAATTTTGTGGAACAGATCAAACCAAAACTTTTTATTTTTCAATAGAAATATCAATTTTGTAAATATTTCAATATTTCATTAATCGTAGAGAACTGTACTTTATTTACAAACTAGCTGTTGCGCGCGACTCCGTCGCAATTAGAAACGAACATAATTAATAGCCTATATGTTCTTCCAGCTCTACATGTACCCTACAGTCTGGTTATCCTATGGCTTGATTGTTTGTCTTGGTTACCCTGCTGCCTGGTTAGTAACTGGCTAGTTTCCCCTTTACCTGGTTGATGTAGTAGAGTGAGCTGGGTATGGTGATCTCGTGGTAGTTGCGGCGCACCGCGTCCACGATGCTGTCGGCGGCCTCCTGCGGCGACAGGATCTTCATCAGCGAGGGGTACTTTATCTTCGGGTTCTTGCAGAGGCCCGTGTCCACGATGTATGGACAGATTGTCGTCAGCTTGATCTGAATAGACAAGAATAAATCTCTTACTTTTTTTTTAATCCAGAGGTGGATATGGGTAAGCGAAAAACAAACACTAGATGTGCTCAAGGTCAACTGAGAGATATTGAGTTAAGCTTGATTGGGGAACCTTGAAAGTTGGTTTCGTCAAACGCAGAAACACTATTTGGTAAAAGCGTACTAGACAACATTTGTACTAGATTTCTCATTGAGAAATTTAAGCCCAACTGAAAGCAGAAGTACCTATAATAGGACAGTTAAAATTATAAATTACTCACTCCACTGAAGTCTCTTTTGTCCTCGCGCAGTTCCTCGTGCAAGGCCTCCATGAGACCGCGCACCGCGTACTTAGTGCCGCAGTAGGGGACCAGGTTGCGGAGACCAACCACGCCAGCCATAGACGACATCGCCACGATGTGACCGTGGTTTGTTTCCATCATGTGCGGCAAAAACGCTTGGATCAACTGACAACACAATATCATTTGATGTGTTAGAGCAAAATCAGAAGAGATAGAGAGATGCAGTTGATGATAATGTGGTGTCATCTCACCCATAGCTGAGCCAACACGTTGACTTCAAAAACGGTGCGTATCTCTGTGTCGCTGGTCTGCAGCAGCGGCTTGCAGGGCATTATGCCCGCGTTGTTCACCAACATCGTGACGTCACCGATCTCGCGTCGTATCTTCTCCGCGAGCTCGTTGATCGCGTTTCGGTCCGTGACGTCACATCTGTTCATATTACCAACAGTTATATCTACTTATAGCTTTTAATAATCAATATACATGTATACCGTTAATAAAATTGGAGTATCTGAATGTAATATGGAAAAAAATCATATTTAGTGTACGTTTTGACATGTTTGTTTTTCTGTCTATCTGTGTGTCTGCAAGCCGCGCTTGTTCCAATAGCTGGACCGATTTTGACGGGACTTTTACTGGAAGGTAACATTGTGTGCAGGCATATTATACGCTTCTTTTTTACTTTGTTATTTTATTTATTCTGAGCTGACGTAATCGCGGACGGAGGCTAATTCGAAAAATAAATTCAGTGTCATTCGGGATTTACATATCAAATTCAATTTTAATTAGCAAATCATCAAAATTTTATTTAACGTATCCACGGGCAAAGCTGGTACAAAATGAATGTCTAGAACGTCGTAAAAATATTATATATTAGGCTTATTTCAAAAAATAGACATCATGTATTCAACTCACAATTATTAACAATTCGACAGACACAAGTGTAAACAGTGACTTGATAAACACGACGGTATGGTATACGTTTATTTGAGATTTTAGCACATTTTGTTAGCGTTTGGTAAAGAAAAGTCTTGTAAAAACTGCGCAAAATGTGTTACCAAAATCCTACATATACCAAGTTTGATTTGATATAAAAAATAATTAGATTAAGCTAGGTTCTTTGCTGAATTATATTAGTTCGCGAGAAATTTCAAAATGTCCCAAAAACTCGTGCAACATAATCTGTCGTATGATGAAACTTGGGAACCATGATTAAAATTCTTTAAATGCCTCATTGAATTTAAGAAAGTGGAAGCACAAATAGCCTATTGGTGACGGATGTGGATTACCTTTTTACTACTCGTGGGTTCGAATCTCGTCATTTTACTATTGTAGTAAACCATATCCAACAAGTTTCGAGCTTAATTTAAAACTGCTAGTATTTTGTATTATTCTAAAAATAAATAAAAAAAACGAATGAAACAATCCACTTATTATAAGTCAAGGCCTCAAGGTAATTAAAATACAATGATCAGGTTACGTTATCTCTGGTTGACTTGTTTTCATTCTGAATACTGGATTCACTTGTTTATTTGTAATTCCAAGGTGGCTGGGCTTAACTTTCGATACTTTGATAGTGATAAAATTGCATCCTTAAGGCTCCAAGGCTTGAAGGTGGACCTTAGGTGTCAGTAATGCATTACTGACGGAGTCTTGAGGTTTGTGAGTGACATGCCTAATCTAGAAATACTTTTTGACAGCCGAAAAAATAAGATTATTATAAAAATATATATATATATATATAATTATTATAAACAGCTTGACGCAGTACGTGTATGGTGGCCTTTAATTTTTAGAAAGAGGTTTTAAATTGAACACCGCAGCGATTGACTATTTTTAGGCTTTTAGTCTCAATATAAATTGATAATAAACTTATCAATTTATATTGATTATTATATATTATATTTATTTTAGGACAAAGGTAACTTACTGATATGCGTGTGCCTTCCCCTCCTGTCCCTTGACTATGTCTACGGTCTCCTTGTTGCCTGCGGGATTGATGTCGACGCAAACAACCACGCCGCCGAGCTTACCAAAGCGCAACGCCATCTCGCGTCCCATGCCATGACCTGCGCCTGTTATCTAAGTAACGTTAAAACCTTTTTAATATCTTTTTATTTTTAATTCTTTACGATATTAATTTAGATTCGACCAGTGATAGAATGACATTTTCTCTTCTTAATTAATTTTGTTCTCAGTAATTTATCGTGGGATAAAATTATATTAAGTACTGATAATAGACTGAAAAGAGTCTTAGGCCATTTGTACGCAAAGAAACAAAAAAAAGGTAACGTAGCAGCGACTTTTCCGTCTTAGATTAGATACGTACTAGTATTATCTCTCCCTTGACATTCTTTGGCTCCGGAGGGAAAAAGAACTGTATGACGGCGAGCGTCCAGGTGATGTTCATCTTGATGGCGAGGATGAAGATCTCCACGGCTAGCATGACACCCTGGTACACCTTCATGGCTATACCTTGCTCATCCGTCCTGGAATTAAAATATAATCAGTATCGGATACAACGACATCGTAAGGAATCGACAGTAATCAATATACCAGTATAACGAACGAGTGCCAAAAATATACAGGAAAAATACAACGAGTAAATTATGACACCACATGCCTTTTCCCATGAAAATATTACGCCATTAAAACATTAAGAATATAAACTTGAAATTAAATATTCACGTAATTTATTAGCCAATCGTCGTAAAAAGAATCGTGCTACTATACATTTTAAATTCCGATCAATTTCGCATTTTAAATATTTGAAATAAGACATTTTATATAACTAACTCGTCATATAACTAATCTAAAATACTGACGAACAGTAAGTCTTAATTATTTATTATTTTTGGCCCTAACAAGAAGTTTTTTCTTATATCATAAGGTGGCAAACGAGCGAGCGGCCACCTGAAATCGCCGAAATAGCGAAATGACTGGTGCCCATAGACATACGCAATTGCATATCTTTAATCGACGGAGGAGAGGATGCACATAAAGAAAATATTTTCCCCTTCCATGCATCCTCTCATCCGGAAAGTCTACATCCACTTCCCATCCTTTCCTTATGAGAAAAAGGGTGGGTAGGGAAAGAGGACTAAATTAGGCCTCCGGGACGCAATTTTATTTTTTTAATAAAATATAATATTTTTTATTTATTTTTATAAATTATGCCTTATTTATAATCAACAGCCACTGCTAAACAAAGCGTCGCTTCCTTATTTCCTAATTCAATATTTGGTCGCGAGCCAACTACGAGTACAAAATGAATATTCAATTAACAAAAGACTTAATAAAAAAACAAGCAAATTACTCGTTAATATTTTGATCATGAGTTAAGCTATGTATGCATATTAAAAGATCTTCCTTACGGTGTTCTTTGTAATTATTGTGTTTTTATAAGCTTTTTTTTAATTTAATCGCATAATTGTGTATATGACATACACAAAAATTATTCCTTTTGTTTATAATTAATTACGTGTTAAGTTTCATTGTTATATTTTAAAATCACATTTTAAAGTGTATTTAATATTTTTTTTTTGATAAATTGTCAGAAAAGCGTGGGTAATTTACCGACCTATTCTACCAGAAACTGTTGTTTTACGAATTGTAACAAAAAAAAGGTTATAAAAATCATACTAACGAATCATTTTAAATATGTACGAACGCAAATAAATATAATTTAACTAGTTTTTGCCCGCGACTCCGTCAGCGCGGAATTAAAATAAAAACATAATAAGTATGTGTTCTTCCAGACTATGTTCTATATGTGTGCTAAATTTCATTAAAATCGGTTCAGCCGTTCCGGAGATACCTTCAAACAAACATCCATCCATCCATCTAAACATTCGTATTTATAATATTAGTAAGATAAGAATTCAAGTGTGTGATTATTTATAGGTTGTTTATTATACAGTTCAAAATAGTTCTGCTCCCAATTATTATGAGTGAGTACTACTGAGCGGTAAACCGCACGAAACACACACACAACCATCATATTTATGGAGTCGAGTATTTCCACTGGCGCGACTAATATTCTTATACAAAATGCCCGCTGCGCGCAAAGACGCGCGACTAGCTACTAAGTGGCTAGTAAAAAAAGGCACAACATACATGGAACAATTGAATTGTTATTGCATACCTACCATACCCAGGTATAATCATTCCAGTTTGTATTACGCACAACCGCAGAAGTCACTGGAAAATTACTCAGCCTTACCAAATGCCACGCAGAAAAAAGTGGATTTATACCTACTTCATAAATCCAATGTAGACCTATATATATATATATATATGGATAGGCTTTAAACCGTGGTAATTTGTGCCTATTTGATATATGCCATTTTGGCGCTGATAGTTGCGGTTGGTGTCAGCGGTGAGGATTGGAACTAATAATAGATATTGAATGTCAGGTACTTAAACAGACACATTTCAGTTGGAAAAACGCAAAAGGTGTAATTTCCAAGGAATGA